AAAGAGACCCATGGCAGGAGGAATTGCTGCTAGCGGAAATATCCGAGGTGGAGGCAATGGCTCCCCAAAGCTACCTCCGGTCCCGGGAGAGACCAATCGATGCTCCAACAAGACCTAGGCAAACTATCCCTCATCCTATGGGCGATAAAGCGGCACCAGGGAGAAAAAAAGGAGATTTTTTTTTTTTGGAGAGAAAGGGAAAGAGAGAGAGAAAAAGAGAGAGAGAGAAAGAGAAAAAGATAGAGAGAGAAAGAGGGAGGGAAAGAAAAAATAAATAAAAAACGAAAAAAAAAGAAAGAGAAAGAGAGAGAAAAAGAGAAAGAGAGAGAGAGAAAAAGAGAAAGAAAGAGAGAGAGAAAGAGAACGAGAGAGGCAAGCAAAAGAGCAATAATAAAAACAATCAAACACTAAAAAAAAAAGAAAAAGAAGCAAGCGGAGCTTAAAAGGAGGAGATACAACGCGACAACGGGGAAATATTGCCATCATCATAAACCGACCCAGAATCGAAAGCAAAAATAAAGATAGAGATAAATAAACATTACCAAATAGACAGACACAGACATACGAAAATAGACAAAAAGACACAAAAAGATACACAGAAATAGAGACGAACGACAGACACGGACACATAGAGATAAACAAGGACAAGCCGAGACAAGCCGAGACAAGCCGAGACAACCCGAGACAACCCGAGAAACAAAAAGACACAGACAAACAGAGAGACACAAACACAAAAAAGAAATAGATTAGATACACAAAGATACACAAAAATATACAAAGATAAACAGAAAACGACAAAGATTACGAAATAAGTAGATACGGACACACGGAAATAGACTGGGAGACATAAAATGAGGCAAAGATACGGAAATACCCAACACGAAATTTTCGAGAAATTTCGATTCGAACAAATCCCCAAATTTCCCCAAAATTTGGCCCGGTAATTCTTTCCAACACCGCCAAATTCTAAAGAAATTTATGGGAGCCACATTGCCGGCAACGACCCAAAATTCGGGAAAATTTGGCCGGGTTACATCGCGAGAATTCTGAGCAAGATTATTAAAAACCTCCCCGAAATTTCGACAAGATTTCGGAGCTTTCCGAACCGCGCAAAAAAGCGAAAACTTATGCCGCAAGAAAAAAAAAGACCGAGACAAATATAACCACTCACCACAAGCACTACAATTCGGCCGGAGTACCGCTACAACGACTTACCAATACACAGAAAATACGACCTAAAGGCCATACCGATTTATGAATAAACATTATAATATATAATTATATATATATTAATAATAATTATATATTATTTATATATTTATTATACTAATTTATATATAAATATATTATATACATATTTCTAGACAAATAAACCTATATCAACAATTTATTTAGATACATATATATATATGTATATTAATACCAATTATTATATGGGTTTGTATTTTTTTAGGGTAGCCGGGCAGGAAGGTTTGAGTACAGGGTATAATTCGCAGGTATGATTCGCGGGTATAATTCGGGGTATGATTCGGGAATTTAATTCGTGGAAGCAGCAGTAGCAGCAATAATAGCAGTAGTCGCCGAATAGTAGTACTAGTAGAAATATTGTAGTAGTAACAATAGTAGTAGTAGTAGTAGTAGTAATAGTAGTAGTAGTAGTAGTTGTTGTTGTTGTTGCAGTAGTAATAGTAGCGGTAGAGTAGTAAATAGTAGTAGCAGTAGTCCTAAGTCGTAGTAGTAGTAGTAGTAGTAGTAAGAGTAGAAGCAACGACTATAGTGGCGCGGAAGCGAGGAAAAGACTTGGTGCTGGCCTTGGCAAGGCAAGTTCATTGCGCGGGTATAATTCGGGTATGATTCGTGGGTATAATTCGGCTAGGTGCAAAACGGCATTAATTACAAACTCGTAGTAGCTGTGGTAGTAGTAGTAGTAGCAGCAGTAGCGGTAGTAGTAGTAATAGTAACAATTACAGAAGTAGTGGTAGCAGCTGTAGCATAAGCAGCAGCGGCTGTAGTAATGCGGACGTTGTGAAAAAGAGCACTAGCCTTGGCAAGGGAAGCTCATTGTCCGGGTATGATTCGGGTATGATTCGCGAGTATAATTCGGCTAGGTGCAAAACGGCACTGATTACAGACTCAGAATGATATATGTGGTAATAATGAGTAGCAGTAGCAGCAGTAGAAGCAGGAATAATAGTAGTAGAAATAATAGTAGTAGTAGCAACAGCAATAGTAGTAGTAGTAATAATCAAGGTTGTAATTGTAGTAGTAGTAGTAGTAGTAATCAAGGTAGTAGTCGTAGTAAGCAGTAGTAGTAATAGTCAAGGTTGTAGTCGTAATAATAGTAGTAGTAATAATAAAGGTAGTAATCGTAGTAGTAGTAGTAGTAATCAAGGTTATAGTCATAGTAGTTAATTATAAGGCTAGCAAAAGTAGAAGCAGTAGAGTAATAATAGTAACGATGGTAACGATAATAGTGGTAGTAATACTCGTAATCGCGGTAGTAGTAGTAGTAATAATAGTAGTAGTAATGGTAGTAGTAGCAGTAGTAATAGTAATTAGAATAGTAGTAATAATAGTAGTGGTAATGGCAATAATAGTATTAGGTAACGCTAATAATAGTTATTATGGAGACAATAAACACAAAACGGTAAAAGAACATTAGCATCTTGCAGCATACGTTTTAAAAGGTATAATTCGGGGATATAATTCGGGGCATAATTCGGGGGTATAATTCGAGGATATAATTCGGGAGTATGATTCGGGAAGGTCCCACCTTCTGCCTGTTAAAACAACTCAACACACAAAAAACAAACCCATATCTAATAAAATAAAATTATATCATTTTCATTATTCATTATTTTCAATATATATTAACAAATATATTATCAATCCAACAATCATCAATTCAAAATATATTCAATATCAATATATACCGATCTATATACCAATTTCGTAGTATTTCCATTTATATTCAATATTTCTTTCAGGAAAATTAATTTTGCCTCTATTGGGCAATCGCCCTATTCCTCAAACCCAGGGGGCATTGCATACAGAAACTCGCCCCTCAGATTGAATCAGCGCTTCCAAATCATCTTTCCATCCAAGATGTTCTGCCAATGTTCTACACCCCGCGTCGCAATCGTCTTTGTGAAACCTTGGTGTGGCATTTTGGGAATTCCAAAGCAAATGTTGTTTTGTGTTTGAGGATAAACGACATTCCTTGAAGAGGCATTCAATGCCTTGAGGGTGTCATTGCCCCAACTCTGCCTGGTCGAACGCATGAAGTGCTTAATAGCTCCAAACAAATGCAGCTTCCGTGGAGGCTTTGTGAAGTGTGAGGTGTCAACTGGACTACGGTCTTGGCGTGATGTGAGAACTTAGCCAACGGCGCGTGGCTCAAGTTAGTTGCAAACATCCTGCTTTTTGCTGAAGTCTGAGGTTGTTGAAACAATCAATTCAGAATCAACTCATCTCCAACAGAAAGCTCACCAAGACTTCACAATCAGAGATTCGACCAGTCCCACGGTTCTCCATTTCTTTTCTGTCCTGTTCAACACTTCCTTTGATAAGTGTCCATCAATAGAAGCACCTTTTGTGACCAAGCAGAAAATGGATTCCAGAATGCAACAAGTTCGTGACGTGACTTCAAAAAGCATATGCGGCGGAAGATCCTTCAATCACGTTGGATGGTAGGGCTTCCGAAGGTATGAATAACATTCTGGAAACATCCAAGCAAAGAACGCTGGTATGTGGGCGGTATGGGTTGCCCAAATACTGGATGGTATGTTTGTTCATTAGCAAGCAGTTGTATGTTCAAACCCGAAGGGTGCCAGGGTGATAGCTGAGGCATTGCCATTTCTTATCAAGGAGCACATCCCGCCAATTGTCTTCACCCTGCAAGTGGAAACGGAAGCCAGACTCCAGGGTGTCGCATGTGCCTGCTTGGTCTCGATTGATCAGCAGTCGCGGTGCACTTTTGTTGGCCACGCCAACAAGCCCAGCGAAGGGATATACCACCAGTGAAGTTCCCATCACGATCAAGAGATCACAAGCGGCCAAGTCCGTCATGTGCAAGCGATTGAATCTATCTGGCAATGCTTCACCAAAGAACACGATTTTAGGCTTCACCAAGCCACCCTTCGCCTTTTTCAACTCTTTCCAGCCTTCTTCGCCGGCGTCAAGAGCCCTTTTTAGCTCATGGACGGGAACTTTGATCTCAGGCCAAGTGTCAATGACATGAGCTTCATCGAAATTGCCATGGGCAGCTACCAACTTTTCAGCCGGAAGACCTGCACGTCCTTCCAAGCTATCGATGTTTTGTGTGTAACATCGACGAAGAATCCCCTTCTCGTTCAAGAGCCGCAGAAAGTAATGCGCTGGGGTTGGCTCGTAGTTTCCGGGCCACAACTCGCGCACCAACTCGTAGAAGGCTTGAGGCGTTTTGCGGAAGAACTTCAATTCGAAGATGGATTCTGCCCGTGGTAAATTGAAGCGCTGCAGGTTATCGTACAAACCAGTTCCTGGGGTTCTGAAATCAGGGATGCCTGCAGAGGTGGAAATACCAGCACCACACATCACGACCACCTGCTTGCACCCTTTCTCGGCAATGTATCCGGCAATGCCCTCCATATCGAAACTGGACAGCAAAGGCGGAAGCTTCTCGTCTTGCAGCTGCAGCTGCATCAGCGACTTAAATGACTGACATACCTGACCCATGGCTGTGGATAAAGGCTCAAGACCCTAGGTCTGATGGTCCCTACTGACCACTAAGTCAGGCTGAAAACTGGACAGTCAATCCCAGAGTGCATTCCAGTATGATTGATTCAATCGTTCTGCACTTGTTTGGCTGGATGGATCCCGTTTATTCCTGTTCATGATGAAGTTGCTACATCACATCTGAGCTTTAATTTGGCAACCTTGGTCATCGAGGCCCACAAAGGCTCCCGTCCTGCTTTGTGCTTGCCAGCGGCACCTTCCAACAGCATCATCTAACAGCACCCTGCATGAGCACCCGTCCTGTCTCGACAGACACTTTCCAGGACAGGGGTCACACACAGTTCACGCGAGTTAGGGCTGCTGGAGAGTACCGCTGGTGAGCATGAAGAAAGGCTCAAGTTGCTGCAGGGGTGCTGTGCACAAGTATATGCAGCTGTGTCATCCGCGCTCTCTTGTTTGCCCGGTGTGCGCACATGCATGTTTTCTGCATGTATATCCATGTGTCTTCCAAGCGTGCACGCGTGTATGTCGTGAGCTTGCACGCATGCCTTCTGAGCGAACACACATGTTCCTTTCGTGCCTATACAAGTCTGTGCGTGCTCTTGCTTGCGTAGTGTATGCTGGGGTGCTTTTTCACAGTGGAGTTGCATGTATGTTCTGGGTGTGCGCGCATGTGTCTCCGAGCATATGCGCAAGTGTCCCTCTTGCACACACAAGTGTGTGCTTCCTTTCCTCCGTTTACCCGAGTGTATGCACATGTGTGTCCCGTGCGCACGCACGTGTGAGATCTGAGTATGTAAGGTGTCCTCCGCGCGTCCTGCTTCCTCAGTGAACACACGTGTGTGTTCACAATGTTTTCGAACATGAGTTCACCGTGAATACAGACGTGGGGTCTACGCACGTGCCTTAAATATGCGCATTCCGAACTTTTTGAGTCTATGCCAGTTGCGGGTGAAAACACATGCATATTCGCACGTTTAATCGAGTTGTCTGTCTGCATGCGGTTCTCTCTTTTTGAAAGCCAAATGAGTTGAACAAGGGGAAGCATGCTTCTGTTTTGTACACAATCCAATGTAGCGAATATATACTATATAAAACACTTAAGGTATAACTACCTGAGTGGGATGGCAAAAAAAACAACATTTTGAATATTTGGCTCAAACAAGTGATACCCCTTGGTGTGGTCCTGTGGTTGGGGTGGTGGTTTGGGTTTTGCATGGGGCTAATTCAGGTTGGTTTAGGGTTGCTTTCGAGGTCGATCAGGCTGGTTAAGGGTCATTTGGAGTTGGTTTAGAGTTCGCATGGGTAGGGCTAGGGTTGCTTTTACGTTGAGTTTGGGTTCGGTGGGTTTAGGGGTTGTTTAGGGGTTGTTTAGGCTTGGTTTAGGGTTGGCTCAGGTGGTTTCAGAGTTGCTTTAGGGTTGGTTTTGGTTGGTTTTACGGCTGGCTTCGGGGTCTCGGGTCTCCTGGGCGCGGGCTCGTCTTGGGCAAAGGATCCGTGGGCTGGGTGCACGAATACATACATAAACACATTTTCCATGAGGCGCAAAGCCACCTCGTGAAAAGGCGACAAAACAGTGTGAACAGGTGACAAAACAGCATGCCTGCTCCTTAAAGGAAGGAGTGCGGACTTAAGTTCCGAATCCCAGCCCCAAAGGAGCACCTGGCCCAAGCATCGGTAACGCGAATCGTAAATGACAAGGGGGTGAAGCAAAACATTATCAGCAAGAGCCAAGAAGAGAGCACAAGGAGCATGTCGTCTGCAAATTTTAGAATGCCTCCAAAACCTGAACAATATTTAGCATGCTGAGCTCGATGTACTGCCAGGTGAGCTCGCCATCAACTATGCAAATGTCTTTGAAGTAGAAGGGCCGGAAGAAGTGGCCCTATTGTGTGGAGCAAATGGGAGGATATATCAAAGGCAAGAACGAAGTGGAAGGAGAGAAAGGAGAGACGTAGTGCCGAAAACATGTAACAATCATCTGAGATGCATCTCTTCCGCAGTAATCACCAGGTGGCGCAGGTGCGAAAGGAGAACGGTGCAGGCTTGGCTAAATGCCTTGAGCAAATATATATATATAGAGTTATATAGCAGTATGCTATATATATATACACGCTATATCATTGAGCACATTTTAATATTATCGTGGTATTCCTTGATTGTAACCTGAGCAAGTGCATCGGGCTGCTCGCATCTATAAAATTATCCAACAGGCAACACTCACAAAGCGCAAGTGAGAACCGAACACGAAAAAGCAAAGCTTGGGGCAATAATGACAGGAAACAACACACAAACAATCAACCATCACCATGTCCGTTAGTTGTGATCATCTAGAAGTTGATACTAATTATTGAAGTCCATTTGAAGCACTTGGCATTCTGCAAAGCTACGCCCCCTACAAACTGGCTGCTTCTTGGACTTGCCCGGCCTCTATCCTCCGACTCATCCACCGCGTTGCACAGCATCTCATGAATGTCCCTGGTGCTGGCTTTCTGAAAAACATATGGTGCGGCTTGATCAAACACGTGCAGCAATTGCAAAAGAGAAGGGGGGGGATGCGCTGCTGACTGTGTTAAGGCTAATCTGACCTCTTCACTCCAACACGACCCCTTTAGTCAGCTAGCCGGCCAAAGCGGTTGAAGCCAAGTTTGAAGGGGCGACTAACTTGCTAACTGGCTTGCGCTCACATCCCCCTTGCCCTCCCAGGCTTCCATCTTCAAAGCAATCACTTGTTTGTCACGTTGGCTGGATGTGGCAGACCTCGAAAGGGCCGCCCGTCTCACAAGTTGAGCAAGCAAACTATTCTTCTCGCGAAATAGTCCTTAAGAAGCTGGAACGCACGAGATCCACAAACTTGGCGCCGCCAGCTTGAGTTGAATGTGCGGACTATCGCGGCCAAATGCTCTCAGAGAATCATGTTGCCAACAAAGCCCCGGCCAAGCAACACATCCTGGAAATGGCAAAACAGTCCTTTGAACAGCTCCCGACGCAAATGACAGTCACAACATAGGTGTGCATGGCAAATGGCTTCAATGTCAAGGGAGCGCAAGGGTTGCGCATCCCATGGTGAAAGCGGAGTACCCATATGAAAATGGACATGTCGTATCTGCAGATATACAATTAAAGCATGCCGAAAACAGTGGGATGCTATGCGGCATGACACCTCACAATGCAACACAATTTGGTGCAATACAACATGCCTGCGTGCATTCATACAGAGCTTGATTTATATAGATTTGGGGCCGTTGGTTCAGGGGTGTGGGCCTCAGCGACAAGCTGGGAGAGGTGCAGGATTTCGTCGTGTGTGAATATTATTGCACCTGGTGGACATCATTTGTGATCCACTAACCGGTTGTGCTTTTCCCCACTGAAATAGCCGTATGCATACGCATGCAAAAGAACCTGCTCCGAGGCTCAGATCGCTTTCCGGCGCGCACTTGACATGGAGTGTGCACAAAGCAAGGTGATGAGCCAAGCTAGCGCTGTCAACCTGCTAGCCGCAGGCGCCCGCCATCCCAACGGCACCCTTTTGCGGAGTTCGGCCTGTCCAGGTAGTCATCCAGCTGCAGCCAAATGAAGAACTCGGGATAGCTTCCCATCTCCTGGCGACGTGGCAGCAAGGGGACGCAAAAAGCAAGTCAATTCGTGCGGCACAAACGCAATCACATCCTCTTGTTAGTTAGAGGCATCTTTGGTAGAGCCCAGGGCATCACCCGCACAAGTGCCAGCCCACCGCCCAAAGCCAGTGAGAGTGCGTCTTGAGCCATTTGTGCCAGCCATCCACTTTTGAATAATCCATTGAGTTGTTGAGTTGCAACCTGTCGGACAAACTTCGAGTCACTTGCGGAGCATGGGCAGTCCCCGAATATTCGAATAGGATAGGCCACGCTTAAAGGCATCGCTTCGCAAACACCAATACAGGGACAGGAATCGAGCAACAAACAAACAAATCAACAAAGAAAGGAAGGAAGGAAGAAGGAAGGAAAGAAAGAAAAAACATGAATAATAATAATAATAATAATAATAATAATAATAATAATAATAATAATAATAATAATAATAATAATAAAAACAAACAAAAAAAAAAACGCAAATCAACAAACAATCAAACAATCCGAACAAGCACAACATACAAACACACACAAACAAATACAACGAAACAAACACCACAAACACACAAAAACAACTACAACAACACCAACAACACACACACAAAAACAAATACAACAACACCAACAACACACACACAAACAAACAAACCACACATCAAACAAATAAACAAACAAGCAAGCAAGCAACCATGAAATCAAGCAATCAATCACAAGCAACCAAGCAGCAAGCAAGCACGCAAGCAAGCAAGCAAACAATCAACCAATAAAGCAAAGGGGCAATGCATTCAACTCTCAGCCCACCAAACAAATGAACACGGCATTACTTCAAAAGATCTGACCCTGCAAAAGAAACGCGCCTGGCCTTGATCTCCCGGCAATCTCTTTGGAACGCTTGGAGGGCATTGGCGGCCTTGACTTGACCCGGGCAAGGAATCAAACGGAATGCTCGTGCTGCACGCGCGCGATGGCCAGCACAAGGAAGTGGGACCATCGCAAGTGATGTCTGGTCGAATGCGTTCTATGGCCGGCTGCTGCCGCTGGAGCTTCTTGTTTGTTCTTAACAAGGGTTAGGCAAATTCGGATAACGCTGCAAACGGAGCCTGTAGGGAAACCGCACGATCATCGCTTTTGTTCAAGGACTGGTGCGGTCCAAACAAGCTCAGTTCTGGCAGTTGCACTTTTCTGGCTTTGCACGCCCGCTCCCTTTGGCATCGTCCAGCAAGCCAAGGTAAATGCTCTTTCAAGGGCACCGTTCTACAAGGGACTTTGAAGCTGCCACCCGAGATTGCATCAAATGTGGGGCATCCCTTTCCCGCCTGATCCAATTCTAAGGCCCCAAAAGAGAAACCAAAGGGATAAAGGTTGCACCTGTCCGAAATGGATGAGATAGGCATGTGGGTCAGAGAGGCAACGCGTGTATGTCCTGAAGTGTCCGGCTTATGAGAATGGAGACGTTGCTGGAACAGCCGTAGCAAGCCAAGCACAGCTTTTTGTGAGAGATACCACGTACCATGTGCAGCACCCCTTCTCCGCCCCGCAGGCCATTCGTGGCGGGCACGCACCACGAAACAACCAACAGCAGGATGCATGTTGGGCACAACACGTTGCGATGAAGTTATCATTGCTTGACTAGGTGGAACTGAACCCTCGATTTTGCATGTTATTCCGCAAGAAAAACTAGCAAATGGACACGGAAAGGACTTGACACATCAAGTTTGCCAACAAAGTGCACACGAATAAAACAAAAGCGTCGATACTCGCACACACACTTGTGACAATCTGCCTTAACTAGGTGCACCTCGCTACACACCAAGTGACAGCCAAATTTCAACAGGTCGAAGTCAAACGTCTCAGCTGTTCCGTGGAATCAAGTGGAGAAACTTACTGGTTCTCGGTAACTTCAATGTGGAATTTTGTGGTGGCGGGGGGGGGGGGATTGTGGGGAAGGCCAAGCTCAAAGGATCAATTTCTCAGCATCGTGGAGGAACGCATTCCTCCTTTTTTGCTGCAATGGCTGCACACCTTGGACCTGCAATGGAAACGTAGCAAACGGCAAACGTTGCGATGTGTACAGTAAGGTCCAAACGTTTCTATCCTTCACACACCTGCTTTTGACAATTGCGCACGGCGTGCAAAAAGCCTTTCATAGGGCACGCTCCAACTCTGGGTAAAATGTGCAACGCTTGCTTCACCTTAGGCTGCGGCCGGCTTTCCATGGCAGGCTTCAAGAGCAGCAATGGAATCCTTATGTGCACAATCCTTCAGCCCATTTGACGACAAGGCTCGGGGGAGGACACATTGATGTTCTTTGGCTCTCCGTGAACGACATGCCAAGCAATTGTGTGTCATGATCGTCTCGAATGCTTGAAATTGGACCATCTCATCAATTCGAACTCTTCAATGACTTTTCAACGCCAGGAGGCGATTGAAGGGGACAAATCACCGAACTCAAGTACAGGACACAAGGGCCGAGCTAAACCCAGCTCTTGTGAGCGCAGAATGTAGTAGCTCTGAAAGACCAAGAGCCTCAGCGTGAGCAGACTGGCGCAACAGGGAGTCCAAGCAGAAGGTGTCCCGTTTTTCAAACTGAATGCAAGGCACACTGGAATCCAAATGCATCTCACTGTGGCCACTATTCGGGGGCGGGTCCCAAGGACAATGTACCATGTATCAACCATGCATTGGGATTCCTCATTCACAAAAACATTGTTGCCAATGCCCGCCTTGCTCGTACAAGGCTTTGACATTATTCTTAGCACGAAAGACTAAATGGGAGGTTTCGAGATTCAGCTGCCCTTCGCTTTCACCAAAACCAGTTATACCCCCAGCCACTGTTCATCACTGTTCATCGGCCGGCCTGGCAGGGTGGAAGCCAATCCAGGATGACGGACAAATGCCTCTTGCTAACTTAATGACGGCCGTGCCGAATCCTTTGAATATTGATTTCATGTACACTCCATTGAACTGTTTGTCAGAGCTCGGCAGCTCGTATGTCACTTGTCGCGGATGTCGGCAGTTGCTACTGTCCTCATGTGCAAATCACGAGAGTCCCATGTGCTATGTCGTCAATCGCGGGCGGTTGGTTCTGACTGTCCCTTCACAGGACACGGGCCTTAAACCAATCTCAAAGCCAAATTTGCATCCGGATCACCGTTCCCAGCATGCCACCGAGCCCAAGAAACCAATACTTTTTCCCTGTGGGCCTTCCCCAACATCAATCGCCTTGTGCCTGCAACGATTTTCTGTGCAACTCCAGTGATGCTAGCTCTGCCTGAACAGGAAACCCTGTAGCCAATCAAAGGCCAGTCACAGCCCCGGAATGAAATCTGCTTTTGAGTGGTCCTTCCGAACGGGCCAAGTTGGCAGCCGCACGTGAGCCATGCGATTGGAAGTGAAGCAGGTTCCTGATCGAGTCAGGTGTCTTCACCATGGCATGGCCAAGCCCACAACACTTCTGCCGGGACCCGGACTTCATGCCAAACTGGCCGGCTTGGAAGCTGGCCGCAACCTGGCGGCTAAGAGCACGTAAGACTAACCTGCACCACGATTTTCTTCTTTCAAGGACGCCCTACGATATAAGCATGCAAGCATAACTTCTCCTCCCAGGCTGACTTCCAGGAGAAAATGAGTAAACTTCAAACAATCAGACATGGGACGGTGGTTCGGGTCCCACCAGTTGGTTTTGGGTTTGGCAACAAGAGCAACAAGCATGGCGCTTCACGCCTGCTCCTCCTTGACTTCTGGGGGTGCATCCGACTCTGGCCAAAGATCTGGGTGCACCTTTGCGGAAGCAACTGAAAGCCAACGCCGGTCTCAAACAAGCCCTGGTGATGGATTGGAATGGCATCACCTTACAATCCCTTGCGAAGTGATATCCGCAAACTACTCAAATGAGCGTCATTTAGACCGAGCTGCAGGTGCTGGACGAAACAGACTCAGATAGTAGTGCGTTCGAATGCTGACGTCCAGTTGCGTGCGTGCGTGCGTGCGTGCGTGCGTGCGTGCGTGCGTGCGTGCGTGCGTGCGTGCGTGCGTGTGTGGGTGTGGGTACCTTCTGTCCTGGGCTGGATAGGCCAAAACAAGTTTGAACCTTGTATTTACAACTAACATGGTCTTACTAAAAGTTTCAAGCCCAGGAACTCGGAGAGTGAGACGATTGGCCAATCAAGGTGCCTACTTGCTCATTGTGTCACAGGCTGGCTGACTGAAACCTTCAGGTGGCTGGTGACGTAAATCGGCCGACATCACAACTGTCAAGTTACGTGAAGTATGGTCGTGCTTGCAATGACACCAAGCAGAACTTGTACATGCTGCCAAATGGACAAAGGGGCCAGTGCCCTAGTCGCCGCAAAGCAGAAAACAGTAACCACACATGAAACGCAAACCTTCCATCAGGATGAACCCTACTGTTATAACCCCTGACACAAGCGGCATGAGTACAAATTGTGGGTGTCCCCTTACTAACCAACTTTCAAGGGAAATTCCGCATGAGTCGAACAGGAAATTCTTGTTGAAGGAGGGTTCCCCAATTGTGGGCAAATATGAAATTCTATTTGACCAGCCTCGACCAAAAACACCCAAGCAGCCCCAAGAAGGCCGTTAGCCCAGGGCGACGCTAGCCAGTTTCCCTATGTCGCCAGCTACCTCAGGTCGCCGCCCATCGAACGTTGCGGCAGAAAAGCTCACGCACCTCAGGCAAAACGCTGTGAGGCTCCCTGCTTACCCCCCTGTGGTGCGCGGTGATCGGAAAAGCTGCGTGCAGGTGGGGAAAGTGGTTTGGTGACCACGCCTCCCTTGATACTTGGCAGCCTGTTGCTGAAGTGCCTTCTTGTTACGGTGCTGTTCTAGTTTTTGCGGCTGCCTTGTTTGACAATAGGGAGTGCCGCGTGTGTGGAGAGGGGGAAGGGTCCAGCCCAGCGGACAAGGAAATCAAGCCCTACCAGACCTACCAGACTGCCTTAAGCCCTTACGCAACATTGAACCTTGGGGGTGAATGGGGGCGACCGTAGTGCGAAGCTATTAAGAAGCTTAAAAGCTCAAACTTGAAGTCTGAATATTCAAATGGTTCCGCTATTGCCGCTATTGGAAATGTCTACAACAAGTGACATGATGATGTCTCCAAAGCCACTGGAAAAGGCCACTGCCCAATCGCCCATGCCGACCTCAAAGCTTAGAGGGCTGCGCAGCATGAGAACATCTCCCGGTGTGTCCCATGGGCTCGTTAGCAAAGGGCACACAACGGCAGGTCAAAAGGCTTGGGGAATTGCAGGAAATCAGCTCCAATGCAAACATCCGCAGCGTTACAGCAGAAATCAGCAACTCAATTTTGTTTTTTTCGTCATCTCTCGCTGCAATTTGCACCTGTGGGCCTGGCGATGATGGGTAGGTTTGCCTTGAGCTCGCCTTAGGGCGAGCAAAGGCCATGGACCCTTGAAAGTCACTATTCCCTTTGCCACGGCCACTCAACTCAAAAGCTGTGCGTGGGCAGTTCATATCCAGGGTTGCTCTTGAAGGGCCTCAAGCCTCAAATCGAGAAGTCGATTTTTGTAGAATTCTTCTGCGATCAACAATTCTGTACTCCCAGTCCGCGGGTGCCAAAAGAAACCCGTGTGTTTCCTCCCAATCGGCACCCGCATGCGTGAGGGGGCCTTGCGAAGCTGCCGATGGCCTGCAAAGCCCATGTTCACACCTGAGTTTTATGGCAAGTTGGTGAGATGATGTGCAGGGAAGTTTGAGCGCCCAAGGGCAATTGCGTGTATTCCCTGCGACTTCCTTGTTTCTGTGCTACTTGCTGCCTCTGTTTCCAAGATCCTGAGCGACCTTGGCGCTGTGTCCAACCAAGTTGATTGAAAAATGGGAAACAACAATGGGTGGCGTTTTGCCTATCGCATCTTCTTCCCACTGTCCTTGACCGCAAATTGGTGTCTTCAACAAAACCGAGACAATCCGCAAAACAGCAGGGTGCCCAACAGCAGCTTTCCTGAGAAAAAAAAAGAGAAAAAAACAAAACAAAAAACATCGTCTGGGTTCCCTGTTTGTGGGGCGCATGGTGCGAGAGTTGGCCAAAAATCTCACCACGCCAGGTTGCACTCCCAAGCCAAACTAAGCTGCTAGCCCTCGGTGAAGAGAAACCTGGCAGGCGCTGCGAGACGTCGGTCAGTCATCTAGGCTCCTGGGATACACAATGTTTGCCCTCATGTATGCATTTTCGACATCAAACACACGCCAATCAAAATTGTGCCTCTGCTAAGGTGACAAATCCATGAAGTGCTTGGATAATTTACTTCGTAGCAAACGGTTGACAGGACGCATTCATTACTTTCTCTTGTAGAGCTTGCATTCGCATGGAAGGCGCTTGCAATGGAACAATGAATAAATTTGCCAGTGATGGTGTAACGTCTTCGCTTTCTAGCCAGGCGTGCATCTCAACCAGTCCTCCACATGTATATTTGCAGTGAAACAAGAACTAATATATAATGCCTCAAAGGTGCCACGTCTGACACAGCCTTCCTGCCCGACAATCCCACAAAATTCTCACGATGCTCGTAATTTAAGTTGACATGGCACCCCCAACACCGGGGGGGTCTCAAACAGAAATTCTATAGTTCATATTTAGGTGCTCCTGGCCTTCCGTGTTTTCGGAGCTAGCGTCCACCAGGTAGGGTAAGCGAAGCTGCGTGCCAAACAGCAACAAGTACTTCCGCCAACAAAGGCAGGATCCCTGCGATTCTCACTGGTGACACACTGGTGACCATATCCTTGCAACTGTGTGAGGAATGAAGCAGCTAAGCTCTTCTTGGACCCAGCATGCACAAGAACCGACTGGGATGTTGGTGGCTTGCGAGAAATCTCTGACATCTCTGCTTTGGCGTCCCGCCTCACAAGGAAGCGGCCCAAGTCCGGCACTACGGACTTGAGGTTCTTCTCCTCAGATGCAAGAGGACTCTGGAACTTGCACTGCAGAGACCGCTGCAAGAAGGCCCTGCGCAGTGTGGCGACACGGCATTTCCGCTGCTGTCTTAGCGAAGAAGGGCAGGGCCACTATGGCCCGGCCAGGATTTTAAAACAGGGTCTGCAAGGAAATATGTAGACGAGGTGGTGTGCATCGAGACTTACACAACGTCCACTGTAGCATAGCCCATGTCCATCCTTGGATTGAAGAAATTCCATTTTAGCGGCAAACAGCAGGTATAACTTGCTTTTGGCCAATCTACACAGAAAGTGTATGTCTTTAGAGAACCCTTAGGGTTGTTTGAAAGGGAAACCAAATGGAAGCCGATTGGCCCAGTGTGGTGCTTCCGGAGCTTTTTAAGAACCGCGTTTTGCTTGGCTTCGAGGGGAACCGAACCACCTATTTGGCTGTGTGTCCAAATGAGAGAACCCCCAAAATAACTGGACGCCCTGTTGCCCTTTGAGGATTTGTACTTCTTTTTGGTTTCCCTTGAGCAACCAGCCCCAAACGGGTGGTACTGGGGTCCTTATTTTGACTTTTTCCAGCAGTTATCAAAGTCAAAGTGGTTGGTGCTTTCCCAGCCACAAAGATTCACTTTGATCCAGTGGTAAAATCCGTGAGGTCAGTGGAACCGAGCAACCCCCCAAAAAACAAAAAAACAGCGAGCCACAAACGCGCCGCCCTTTCGCCTGGGCCCGCGGGCCGGCTCCGCCTCCACCATTTTCAGGAACTCTTCCGCCGTCTTCGCTGCGTGGGCCGCCAGGCCCGCGTGGTCCTGCGCCAGGCCTGTGCCCGGTTCCAGGGAGCTGAAACCGAGCCTTGGGCCATGTGAAGGGACACCGGGACACAGAAAACACGACCCCTCAAAGGGTAGGTCGGTCTTCAAAGGGTGTGTCCAACTTTTTTGAGGGTACCCTTTTTGGGAGAACTTTCAAGAAGGGGAAACCGCCAATGCTGAGGTCCAACTGTTTTGAGACAAACCCATATTAAAATGGGTCTGTGGCAAAGGGAGACCCTAACAGCAGTGCGTTTGTGCTTGTTTCCTTTAAACCAACCTGAAAATGATAGTGTCAAACACAAACAGTTAAAATAGCAAAGGACATGCTAACAAAAGAAAGAAAGAAAGAAAGAAAGAAAGAAAGAAAGAAAGAAAGAAAGAAAAATAAAGAATCCAACCAACCAACCAACCAACAAACAAGCAAGCAAGCAAACAAAGAAACAAAGCACCACACACACATATATCTATATATATATATATACATATATATATATATAGTTATACACCCATAACCACCCAAATGATTGAAATGTGGTTGTGGGTACCACCAAATGTTTTGCATTGCAGGAGTCAATTTGCAATTTCTCAGCCACTGTGAGAACCCAACGAGGAAACGGTTTCCATATATTTCACAGGTCGTGAACCAGCAAAAAACATAATATCCAAATTGCCAGCCGGTTGGAGCCAGAAAAGGCGTCGCGCTATTTTCATGCCTTTGCAGGGGGCCACCAGCTTTGGACAAATGCACCACATACTCCAGACTCCTGCGTCAAAAGCAAGGGGAGGTGTTTTCAAACTAAGATTCATGGTTACAGGCTCAAAGAGGGTACCATGCTGACTTGCTTGTTCTGAGCTGGCCAGACAGCAAACCGCATGCGCTGTGTGTGACGCGCATTCGCGCCATGTTGGGGTGTGCGACGCTGGAGTCGGCAAAAGGTTTACTCGATGAAGTCTCTGGACTACTCAGGCCACCGCCAAGGCTGAGGAATACCGATGGTATCTATCTTCATCGGTTCAGGTGTCGATCGGTGCGTCCCATGAACGCCGTTGCCATCCATTTTCCTGCCTACTGCAGCCGACTCCGGCCCCCCAACAACACCAAGAAGAAACCTGAGTGCCCAGCACAGGAGGAGGAAGTGCAAAGTGACCTGGGATCTGTCCATGCTTCTGGCGATTCTCGAACGGAAAGCGACCCATCTTGTCACGCCTTTGGCTAGCAAGAACACGTTACTCCTCCTCAATTCTGATGGTCTCAAAATGCTAGCGACAATTGCAGCACGGATCACTGGTACGTTTGATGCCTTCCATGGGAGCAAGCTGTTTGAGGGATTGGACAATTTGGTGACAGGCTGCTCATTGGCTGGCACAACTGAAGCAACGCTTTCTGACACATGGCATGCCATTCGAGCAGAATGTGCATTGAGTTCATGAACCTCCGCGCCTCCTTTGAACGCTGCTATCTAAAGCAAGTGCAGCGCTAGGGGACACCACGAAGGCATATCATTCGCTCTACATCCCTCCAACATGCGAGCGCTTGAGCGTAGAGATGAGTTCCGCTCTCGCTGTACGGCATTGAGGCGGGCACGAAGCACATCATGGCACGCTCTGATTCGTGCTCGCCACTCTTCACCTCAGTCAAGCTGTCCAAGCTAAATAACTCCAAAGGCGGGGGTGCGCTCTGATGCTGGTGCTAGTGCTGACAAGCAAACCAAATGTGTATATAGCAAAGGAACAACCATCTGGACTTTCTTGTGCAGCTGAGGATATTCACCAAGGAGCGGTTTGCATCACAGCCGCGCACCTAATAGAATTCCCAGGCCTTTGGCTTGCCGTATTGGAGTGGGCATGTCGCTGGCCTTGCACTGTCCGTGTACGTGTCGCTGGCCTTGCACTGTCCGTGTGACGTGAGCAAACATCCAATGCTCTGGCCTGGCAGTGCCCAAACATCAGTATGCAAGGGCAAAACCGCAAACATCGATTGGCACCAGTTCAAACATGATTGAATCGCTAAGAATCGCTAAGAATTGCCTTCTGGTTGAAAAAAGCACAGGGTTTGGATAAGGCGTGTGGACTTGTAAGGCTCTCCCTCCCTCCCTCCCGCCCTCCCTCTCTCTCTCTCTGTCTCTCTCTCTCTCTCTCTCTGTCTCTCTCTCTCTCTCTCTCTCTCTCTGTCTCTCTCTCTCTCTCTCTCTGTCTCTGTCTCTGTCTCTGTCTCTGTCTTTCTCTCTCTCTTTCTTGGTTTTCCCGGCGATGCTGATGCACGTCGTCTTCCAGATCTCTCCCGCAATGTTCAGGATGTCTTCCAAGCCTTCGTGCAGAACCCAGCCAATCTTTCAAAGCAACAACGAGACAACATGACCTCCTCGACAAAGGCAAGTCATTTGGCAGCAGTGTTTTTCGGTCAAGATAGCTCCCCCTTGCGATTCTCTTGTCAAAATGCAGGATGGAGCTCACTACAACTACGGTTTCTGCACGGCTCCATGCTCATGTAGGCCGTGGCTGCGCTTCACCTACAGCTGCAATAAGAAACCTGAGCGGGTTGAACACATGGCTAGCTGCCACGTGGTTGCTGCTTCCTGGGAATTACGATTGAGTTCACCAGGGCGGACTAAGTATGGGCTTGCAATGGCAACCATGACAGATTCATGCAACATGTAACCAGGTGCAGCTGGCTGCAGTATATGCCCGGTGAAGAGCAACACACAAGGGTTGTAGTGTTTGTGGCAAATCCACTTTCCCGCCATTCTTCGAATTTTCCGTGGTCGGAAGGCTACAGTGATCGGTGGGGTCACCGGCAACTGTGCAGTGCAAAGCTGGGGGCCTCAAGGGTGCAAGGTCTTCCACAAGCCACACTCTCCGCACTCTTGGCACACTCAGCTGGCTCCGCATAAACCAAGCGAATAAAGAGCTGTATGCGTGCTTCATCAGGTTCCTCTCCCAGCATAGCTGATCCCCCACAAGGGAATCAGTTACTCCCCCGACCATGAGACAACATAAAAAGCAAACGCAGCCGAGGGCAGCACCGTTGGTATCTTTGCCTGACGCCAACGAGCGATGCAATGCGCTTCGTGCTGCTGGGGCGGTGGTGAAGTCGCTCATAATGCGAGCGGCTGCAGCGTACTTGCCCCAAAAGACATACACATAACAACAAACAAATTACATGGATATAAGCATGCGCTGCCAGGGGCATCAAGCTTGCCGCGCCTTGGCAACTGGGCAGCTGCAGTCGGTAGCAGCCTAGCCGAGGCTCAAATGACCATGCTTGGAACTAAAATCCCCAAACCGGAAATAAGGGGAATCTCCAGCAAGGACCTTCATCCTGAGTCGGTTTAAGTGCATTTGTCCAAATGACCATACCTTTGGCATTGAATTGTTGCATGTTACGGCCACTTTGCCCTCAACTGACGCCCGATGCGAAACAAAGCTAACTAACTACTCAAAATGCCAGAAAAGCCGAATATGGGACCCGACATAGGGAAATTACCCTTGTTCAGCCATTGGATTCCTTTTGCTTTCCCTTCAAACCAACCCCAAAAGGATTCCCTCCAGACAATACATCCCCATATGCAACCATTGACCGGTGTCCTGCGGCCTCTGCATGCCCCGTCCATGTCGCGCAGGCCCATACATGCACAAACCCCCCGGACGTCCCCGCGGTAAACAACATGTTCTAGGAAACCCTTGGTGCATCCATAGCTTCTCATTCTATGTTGGACACATTGGGTGGCGGCAGCAAGCGGTATATTCATTCATGCACGAAGCCTGGAATCAAAATCCTCAGTGGGTGTTGTGTGTCTTCCTTTTTTTTCTTCGGGGCTCGGTTTGGCTTGTGGCTGAGGGTCACTACAAGTCGATGTCACCCAACTGTATCAAGCGAAACCTATGAGGTCAGGGGCCGCCAGTTCGTGCAGTGCGGAACCAGTTCGCTTGAGTCCGTTCCCCACATTGGGGGACCCCATTTTGGGGGCTGGTGTGAAACGGACTTGCAAAGGAAGTGACTCATCTTTGGGGAGTGCGTCATGTTTGCAAAGTCAATTCTTGACCGAGGCTCGTGCGGGCGACCTCTCCCAGCCGCACGATTCCGTTCTCTGCCAGGCTCCGGCCAGCTGATGACCAAGCCTGCCACAGCGGGCTCGCCAAACCCGAGCGTCGATTCGCCAAACCAAGGGTCTATCATAGACTCTAACCGGCCTTCTGAGGCAAAGTCCGCGGCTACTCTGCAATGCTTGCGCTGGGGCTCTCTTCTGGGTTGCCCTTGGCGGCCATGGAAGTTAGCTCAATATATAGCCGGATTGCACTCATATATCGATTTCGACACACATTCTTGGGTACTTTGGCTGTGCATTCAAGCACCTGGTCCCTTCCAGCTACACAACCACCCGGGACATGGCATATGGCTCTCAAGCACGGAGAGCGGAGCATTCGGCTCGATGAGCTCAGACCGCACATCTCATGCCCCAAGGCGTTGAATAGCCGATATGCAAGCTCGGGGCAACGCTTGGTACGCCTTTCTTTCGCAAAACCATGTAGCGACATGCCAAAGGAGGATGACTCACCGCACGCGGCTTGGGGCAAATAGCTTCTAAGGCAACAAGCTGACTCATGGACATAATTACTGTCCTCGTGGAGGCCGAGTGGGAATCTCCACGAAGCTTTTTAGGGCACGAGGCAAACAGCTTAAAGATGTGTAAAGCAGAGCCCCCGCGAACTTCGTAAAACTCTGTGATCACCCCTTGGCAGAATCCAACAACAACTGAGAATTGCTTGGCATGTACCTTCGCCTTGCTGAAAGACAATCAGGATTTGGAACATACAACCCACTAGGACCACTTCTAAGACCTAAGACGTTCCAGCACATTCTCACAACAGGGGCAATCGTTGAGGTCAAATGCCTGGTTGGATTTCTGAAAGCTCCCAAAGGAGGTAAAACTGCGAGGGCAAAAAGCGGCAAGGAATGGTATGCTTGCTTGTGACCCTTCGTGCAAGAAAGACGCAAGCGGAGTCGAAGATTTCTCGTTTTTCCGAGCTCGGCAAAGCAACCAGCAATTGGAAAAAGGGATTCTGTGTGTAGCGAGTGCTCGCGCTCCAGGTTTCAGACCTTTGCAACCCGTTCCACAGCTGGCTGCAAGCTACTTGGCGCCTGCAAATCGCAGGGGTAGGGCCTTAGCTTCAAGTCAACTCTCCTTTTTAGACCTTTGGCTCAAGGAACGTCTGAAGATCCCACGAATTCCGTGGCAAGCAAAGCAATATTTACCAACAACTGCACCAGCAGGTCTGCGAAATCATGATGCATGCAACATCTAGCCCAAATGACGTCTCAAAATGGGTCAAGGTGGGGCATCCTAAAGCGCCCTTCAAAATGCCCTTCAAAAAACTGAGTGAGGGGGCCTCTCTGCAGGCAGGCTCCAAAGTCCCGCAGTCAATGACGATTCAACAGCATCGGGTGGTCTCTGCAGCAATGATCAGCAATCCTTGTTGGAACAAAACTTTCTGTTGTGCTTGGCAATTCCCCACTCCGTTGTTTTATCATTTTCATGGCGGGACCAAACTCACGAAACGAGGAAGAGGAGGGGGATGAGCATCTAGGTCACAAGTCATTCGGTTTGTAGACCGCTCCGTCAAATCGAAGTTCACGCGGAGCAATTACACCTGGAACGGGCCAACCGTAACGACATTGCCCCGTGCCGCGAGCAGATGCGGAGCTAGGCAGCTGGCAGGATGGCCTCAAACGGAGCACGTGGATGTGGCATATGCTCTGAAATAAGTAGGCTGCTTGCTGTCTCACTGATATATTCTGTAACCGGATTGGACGTCAAAGAAGCCATAGTGACATCCAAACAATGGTCGTTGTAAAATCGAAACCATCCAGGGTTCATCCATCTTCTCTTTGGCGGCTGCGGTGCGACTGGGGACATCAACTTTGGCTTCATCAATTCAAGCAGTAAACGTCCACGCTTTGCACACACACACACATTTGCACGTGGATCTCAAAATACGTCGTGAATGTTACGCGTCAGGTTTGCCAGGTGCCACCAGCGGCACTTGCTGCCTCTTCCAAGGCGGTAACTGACGCGGCCAGGAGAAAGCAACACTGAACGCCGGTACACGTGGTGATGCCCAACCAATTGAACCCCAGCGCACAACAGCCAAAACATGTGAGAACCAACCACCAAGACCAAGCACCGCCGTCCATGACCCAAGAAACAAAGGCAAGCACCACACGCTGCGTGCAGCGCTGCCTGCGTCGGCGATTTCTGCCTGCGGATTCCAACTCTGCCACCAAGCACCGCATCCCTGTCCCAACCCAAGGCTCCAGGCGTGCACCGGGAGGCCCAGATCAGTGCTGCGCGCACCCTGCTCAAAACTCTGCTTGCCTGGCGCGCCCCGTTCCCTCCTGCACCAAGTTTGGCCGATTTCCAGGGTGCTGAGATATATGTGATTGAAGCTGGGATCCCCTGGTCGTGGAAGCTGTTTAGGTTTCATTGCGCAAATGCGACAATGAATTTGCGGTGCCTTGTCATCAGAACCATGTTTGGCATTGCTTACATGTACGGTAAGAAATAGAAAGGGAGTAAAGCAGCTCATCGTTCACTCAGCCTTCAGCCGGAAACTGCTTTGACTTGGCGCGTGGCAGGCTCAATGTTGAGCCTTGTGGGGAGGCATGTGACCGGAGGTTCTGAATTGACTCGCCCAGGCCCATATCGCTTAATGTTTCTTGGTGTCATGACCCAAGCAGCGACCTTGGAGAGGCCAAATCCGCTCTGTTAGCTGCCCAAGTTGTCCGCCGACGAGCAACGCACGAGATTGAACACGTTCTTGCAAATTGTTCAATTCAACCAAGCAGGCCTTGCGTATATCAATCAATGTGTCCAATGGGCATGCAGCGCACCACACTGAATTCTGAAAGGCTCAACGCAACGCAGCAGCACTTTCAGAAGTTTGTTCAAACAAGTCAGCGATCTGGTTGAATATTGGATTCTTGGATTGTTTCTATTTTGATGCGGTGCAGTGATTGGAGCTCCTGCAGCATTAAAAGTGCAAAGCAAACCTTGCATCGCCATGGATCTATGCCATCTTAAAGAGCCCCACATGGCCGCAAAGGCTCGCAACAAATTGTTCGGCCCCAATCAGCACATCAAACAAATACTAGTAACTCAGCGATGCTCTGAAGGTACCGGAAGGCATTTCTTTGCGGAAAAAAAAACATCTGGGGCTTGAGGCTTGGGGCAGCTACCATGCAAAGCAAAAGGGCCCACCCTGGCCCGTTTCATTCAAACACACACACACACAGTCTTTTGGCTTGGTGCTAGGGATTTGGGTTATACATGATTTTGCACCCCGATTTACGGCTGTTCCTTGAAGCCACAGAAAGGTGGATCCAACTCCAATCCGAACCGCCAGAGCGGCAAAGACTGGCCATGGACGTGGCCAGCGAAGACCTTGCGTCAGGCGCATCCCTGGTTGAAAGTCGGCCAATGTTCGAGAAAAGATAGGATCCGTTTTTGAAGATACCTGGGAACCCCTTGTGGCAAAGGGAAACCAAAGAGTAAACCGTCCATAGTTTGGCGCCCCCTAGACACGCCCATGCGACATCGACTAGCACCAGCCCTTGGAGGACAGCACGAAAAGGGCACGCTAACTGCACGCAACCGGTGAGCCCTTGTTGCAAGAGCCGGTGGATATCTCACAGCCTTCTTGAAAATGCTGGAGTTTCTTAAGGAATAAATCTGAATGAGTTGTGGTTGAATACAATGAAGCTAGAGTCATGCCTGCAACCACGTAGCTTTGAACTTGGTCTCGAATCCCAAACACGGATTATTTGCACCTCTGTAACCCTAGCTGAACTTCCTCATAGTGTGCCTGAGGCTGGTGGCACCTGAAGTAGCGTGGCTGTCTCACAAATGGGGTAGGCGGAACGAAGTTGTTTGGGTGCCAACGTGTCGTATCCCTTCAACCCTGGACCATCCAGTCACCAGCTATGCTACAATGAATCAGACCCGGAAAGAACATGAGCAAACCCGAGCAATCCTAGCTAAATGCATAGACCCATGTGCAAACCAATTGTAGCAACTCCTGCTTTGTGGCCTCGTTGGCCATAAACTGTGCCTCTATTATAGGCAAGCGCCATGTGTGGCCAAAGCAGCATCCCAGTCTTTGGACATTCAGGCTTTGCAGGTTACTCTTCCCTGAGCAAATTGTTTTGCAGCTTTGATGGAAAACCCGACCAAAAGGTCTCAGGGGCGATCTGTTTGTTCACATTCATGTCCACCAACCACTTTTGAAGTTGTGCCCTATTGACAGCTGCCCCTTTCGCGCTAATTTGGCTCCAAGCAGTTGTGTGCCTTTGGGCTTGCAGATGGGTATGGCAAAACGCGTGGTTTCCGTTTGGTTTCTTTTGAAACCAGCCTCAAGCAAGGGTACCTTGCGTGCGTTTCAGCGTCCGCACTTTGTGGGCTGAGCCCCCTCCGATCCATCCACTGAGCCAGCAACACCCTCCCTGGCACCACCGCGACATCGAAGCAAGGATGACCTCGCAGAAAACGACGAGATGGAGAGAGAGGAAGCCATAGGAGAGGATCTCTCATTTATAGTGCTTTGCCTCACGCGTGCACACAAGCGCGCGCCTCTGCAAGTGCGTAAGTGGCTTCGTGTGTGGAAGCGTGAGTGCGTAGGAATGAGTAGGGATGCTTAGAGATTTGCAGAAATGTTTCGGTGTGTGCGTGTGTGTGTCTGCATCGATCGATCTGCATGCGAGTCTGTATGCATTTCTGCGTTTGCAAGCACACTCATGTTGTTGATTTGTACAGCACGGCTTGTCTTCGGGCTTGTTATATTAGTTCCTGCTGTTTAAGTAACTAGCAACTTCCATATTTGGTTCACTGCCCAGCCTTGGGGAGTTTGGCCACCGCTAGCTTGCCACAAGGCATGAAAGATCTGTAGCCAGGCATTCTCAAACCATGCTTCTGTTGCTTGTGCTCTGGCGCTCCGTCTAGCCATGGCATCTGTCAAGCCAGTCCATGTTCTAGCAAAAGCCTAGCAAAGAAGCGAGGTGCAAAAGTGGAGCAATGAAACAATCTTCAAATCCTTAACCAACATGTTGGCCGCACCCAATTCATGTCGGCATGCCTGACAACTGCTGTCTGCAACTCGGGAAGCGGGCGTTCCAGCTCCGCTGGCAGGAGCGGAGTTTTCAGGAAGAAGTCGCACCAAGCCTGGCGACATCTAAGGGTCACCGGCTTGGTGCGGAAAACTGCCGGAAAGTCACGACCAAGCAGGTGAGGCTGAGGACTCGATTCTGGCAACTCCCAGCACCCTCCAACGATTGCTTTTTCCCATGCCCAAAAACTAGGTGCAATTCAAAATGGGGGGGAAGGGGAAGCTTCTTCTTGCAATCCAGCTTTTAGCAGCAGTCGTTCATCATTCGAGAGCTAAATCGTGCCAAGGCTTCACAACGGGAGCGCAAACAATGATGTGCCAAAGAATGGCACTGACACATGTTTTGACAGCTAGCCCAGCAATCAAACAGCCAGTGCACACTAATAGGAAGAAAGAACTTCAGAGAATCTGAATCATGTGAAGCAAATGTTCAGCCACAGAAGTCCAATCTTCAGTTCTAGCTACGTTTGACTTGCAAGTTGGTACTCCATTTGGGCCCTGCGGCTGCTTTGCTTGCGCGCGCGACGCTCAGCTGAACAGATCTCATACTCAATCCATCAACCCCTGCCTCTTTGGGTGCTGCTGTCACCTCTGCTTTCTGCCTCGCATGGAGCAGCCAACAAGTCCAGTAAAACCAAGCGGCAAGTCTACATACAATTGATGCGGGATCTCGCGCCCCCGCCCAAAACACACTTTTCCAAGACAAATGTCAAAGCTCGGCCCGTAGAAGTGTTGGAAACATATGTGAGTGCATGGTTGGCCTGTCTTGAATAGTGTTCCTCAGAAGTCATGGGTTTCAACACACTTTTGATCATGCCACAGGAGGGTCTGTGTCAAAATAGGGGAATCCCGGGATCCCAAAATGGCTTTGGTGTTGTTTTTGGTTTCCCTTTGAAACCAACGAAGAGGGGACCGTTTAGAAAACGCACACACCCTCACACAGAACTGGTGAGCTGTTCTTCAGGCCCAGGCTCTGCATAGCCCCCACGTGGCCGCGGCTCCAGCCGGCTCGACGCCTGCACGGTTTGGGGTGCGCAAAGGGACACCAAAAAGAAACCACCCATTCTGAAGGCTTCCCTTAGAGACAAGCCCAAATGCGGCCAAACAAACAGGTGAGTCCATCCAGTACTGTCTTTCATGACTGCCCGGCAGCTTCAATACAGGGTTGTCTTGCGATACAAAGCCATAGAAAGCCGCAAATGAAGATGTAAGCATACCAAACGCAACATGCCACTGCATTGAGATAGGCGGCATCACCGCGATTGGGCTTTTGGGGAGTTGCAGGTGTTCGGGTGGGGTAGGTTTGTGGAATACCCCTTCGTCATCCACACTCTTTTCAGCGGATTTGCTTTGCCTGCGTGTAGTGCTCTCCAAGATCGGAAGATAGTGTCATGATCATTTACATTGTGGTTTAGCATGTTTCAACCTCAAGAGACAGGATGTACACTCAAAAGAGGCATGCTGATTCAAGAGAGGCAACCACTGCACTTGTGAATTCCATTGCAGCTATCAAACGCGTGCTTCGGAAACGACACCCGAGTTTCCCGCAAAATAGGGCTAGACTTTTTGGACTCCAAATCATCATCTGAATGGCTATACTTTTAGATCTTGATGGAGCCGCGCGGCTGCATTAGCAAGGCCCCATTGGTCAGAACAGGGTGCGCAATACCACATGTTGGGGGGGAGTGGTGGTGTTGATGCGCTCACTGCTGGTTCGCACTTGATCTGCGAGTTGCGTTCCAACAAGTGCACTTCAGCCTTCTCCAGAATTGGTCTCTTCGCCTCCCCTCCTGCCAAAAAGTCTCCCAAAACAGTCCTGATCCAGGTTTATGAGCCCAATCGCCTGCAGGTATCTTGCAGGCCATGCGAAAGGTCTGCGCGCCACCAATTCACACTGCCTTGCAAACAAGCGCAACCATCGGCATCTCCACGTACCTCGCAAATCCTTAACACCGCAACACCGAACGTGTCGCAACACCGAACGTGACGGTGTTTGGATGCTTATGCCCGTGCGTCCCATCCGCAAACACTCTTCTGGCTGGGTGTCAAACTCCATTTTGGCTTCCTTCCAAGACTATTCAGAATTTAAGATTATGGGCGGCTATCATGGATAATTATCCAGGCGACCCTGGTTTCGAAACCCAAAGGTGCCCCACTCCCACCTTCAGCCACTCAGGCCGGAAGCACCGCTGGGCTTCCACCTGCCAGTCAGCGTCTAGAGGAAGTTGGGCTCTCGAGAAAAACTTATGCCATGCGCTAGAATGGAACAATAGTTGATTTCTGACAATCTGAGGAAAACAAACCGCATGTGTCATCCCCTAGGTGGCTTATCTGTGTGATTGCTCGGAGAAACCCTGGGCGAACTCTCAACTGCAAGCTGGTGTTCGGTGAGCGTTGTTGTGATCTTATTTTCTAAGAATGATGTCCACTCGTCCCCCTAGTACCGATCAACCAGCCTACACCTGCAATGTGGTAAATAAAGTGGATGAACAACGGATAGCTCTGTCCGAAGCAAACTGTCCAGCTGCAAGGCTACAGCCATCCAACTGGTGGAGACATTGCAGAGGCGAATGTCAAGCGACTTTTTGCCATTTCCAGTCACATTTTGGGGGTCAACATAAAGTCGTCTCAGACTCACCTGCTCGAACGGACGAGGACTCCCAGTCTAAGCACCCAGCATCCAGCTTCAGCGATTGGGAATCGTACTTCACCTCGCTCGGGGAAGTACTGGCTCACATGCTACCAGAGAAGCTGCCATCGCGGAAGCTCCCCGGAAGAACGTTAGACTTTCAAACCAAAGCATTCATCTAACAGTTTGTGTAGGTGTTTTCCTCCTGGATTGCATCTGGGGCATTGCTCATTTGGGCTCATGTTCAGATAAAACCCTGATGTTGGCCCAGTTGTGGCCGTTTCCCGAGGGTGTAGTCCCTGGGTGTAACAAACCTGTAGACTGGGGCATTTTTTTGATACACCATATGTATCGACAAAACATTGGAAGAGCCAATGTGAGGAGAAAGAAGGCCGACAAGCAAATGCATGTGCTACCCAACCCTAGCATACCTCGCACTTGTAAGCCTTCGGAATGTAATTCAGGACAAATGCAAGGAACTGGCACAGGCATGCCCCCCACTTCTATTATTCAGCTGCGCAGGGTTCTTTCCGAAAATGGGGGTATTGAAACTGTAACACGGCCTGTGAAAATTCAATGATGCCTCTGATAAAGTTAAGCTCCTAGCCCGGATGTTGCGGCTGTGCCCACAGGCTGCCAGTCTCTCTTCAGTTTGGACTTGGGGCGCGGTTTGGCTCCAGCATGACAATATCAACCCAAACTTCAGTGGCCTAATTAGCAACAAAACACTCTGTTGGTAGTTCATTTTAAATGGACATCCCTCGGAAAATGGGCACGACTGGAGGTCTGGGTTATTCAACCTAACATTGGCAGTGCCTCACTTCGGCGCTGACCTGACAGCCAAACCAGTCTCAGGCCGGCACATGTTTCTCCTCTTCATAGTCCAGGTCGCTGCCAAGAAACTCTCGCAGAATCTGCAGGTAGCGTGGCCTCGCAAACACCACGAGGCAGGTAGTCTCATTGACCTCGAGCACACTTCTTTCCCTCTGCCCCAGACCTTTTAACAGCGATTGGATTGCTCTGGATGAAGACCTGAACATTGCCAGCCGTCATAGCCTTGCCGGGTGGACTACCATCACTTGAGGACATCACTTCCACACAAAATATGCGCGGCTCAAACTCACAAAGTTCCTTCGCCTCGCTCAAAAATTATCTGCTAAGTGTTTGTGAATTCCCGCCTCCCAACCGATCAAAACGCCCTGACCGAAATCATCCGTGACCTATATACATGTCAAATACTATCTGAGCTGGGCTCGCCAAAAACAGATGTAGAATGAGATCCCAGCACACTTCTCCAGTAACCGACATGGAACCCCGAAATGTGTGCAGTTGCTAGGTGCGCTGCATGCCGCCCATGCCGTCCTGAGATGACACACGGCACATTGCTGTCACCTTCCGCGGGGTTTCTCGGAACCTCTGCATCGAATTGGGTTTCGGGATTTTTGAGTTTAGGTTTCATTTTAGGGTTTGAGCTTAGAGCACGGGGCCTAGGTTTCCAATTGGGATTTAAAGCTTCAGGGCGTCGAGTATACGGTTTGAGCTTTGATTCAAGGATTCGTTGCTCAAAACTCAGGTTCATGATTGTTTCCGAGCCATGGGTTAAAAATTATGGTTGCAGGATTAAGGGCTGAGGCTTTGGGGCTTGGATTTCAGGTTTGAGGTCTTCCAGGTGTGGGATTTCCAGGTGTGGGATTTCTAGGTGTGGGATTCGAATTGGTTTAGGGTTTGGGGCATCGGGCTGGTGGATAAGGGCTTTTGGGCTTCAGGTTCCGGCTTAAACCTTAAACCCCAGCAAGCGTAGTCGTTCCCTCAACGGCCTTTTCAAAGGCCAAGCGGCGGAAACTGGAATCCCACAAGCGAGTGACCTGCCGGGTAACACACACTTTCATCAGGGCTGCTCAAAAAGCTGCTGCCAAGGGGAGCCCATTCGTAACCCAAAAACGTTGTTTGATTTGTGCCAATATGTCATGCCAAGTATGCTGAATCCAACCCAACTCTGTGGAACAACTTCAAGTTGCATTCACAAGAGCCAGCCGCCGACCGACAGTCAACTGGAAACAAACGATCGCCACAACGAAAACAACCACACCAACCAAGCAAGAAAGCTAACACACGCACGCACACACGTCATTTTTGTGTGGCGGTGGCCGTGGCTGTGGGCCGTTGGGCCGGTCAAGGGCGTGGTGGCCGTGGCCGTGGCCGGGTGGTCCGGGTGGTCGGGTGGCCATGTCAGGGGGGATGCTGGGTGGCCGGGTAGCTAAGGTAAGGCGGGGGCGCATGTGGTTGGGCACTGGGGTCTCCTTAGGTAAGGGGGGGGGGGGCCCTCAATACATTTCTCACGAATCCCCCCTATTACATTTCCAGTCTAAAAAATCCCCCATCCCCCCCCCTCTAATGCATTTCCAATTCTCAGTTTTTCCACATCGTCGAGGATGTCAGGACTTCAGCACATTCGGTGCCTCAGAGTTCACCTGAGATCGAAAAGCCAAGAACCCCGCCGCAGACTCGGCATTCGCCGCTGTTGGCATTGTCTTGCAAAACCAACCAATCACAAACTCTCCATATGCCGTGGCGTGGGTTGGCCGGGATTTGAATCCCCGCCCCCCTCCTGGAACCAGCCTGGCAACTTCGCTGCCACTTCAAGGAACATGGGCTTTGCCGCAATGACCTCAATGCGGCCAGAAGGGCTGACAAGCTTTCTGCCAGTCACACTTTCCCACGCGTCCTTCAACGTGTTCAGGTAGGCTGTGACGTTCTGCCGCCCATCGTGGTTGTTGCCGAAGTTGTCCGCGGTCATGTAGTGTTCACTTGCTGCGTTCCCTGCGCGCGCACTCACGCACGTACGCGCGCGCACCGCTACAATCGCACGGGCACGCGCAAGCGCGCGAACGCACGCATACATGAGATCCAGCCACCGCTGAACCAATACCTCAAAGGAAACTTTAAAAATAAAAGACTAGTTTTGAACAGCTCATTGGGGAAACCACCCTGGTATGGCTGGTGGATTTTCAGTGGGAAAGCTCTTCCCCAGGAAAGCCTCTGGCTAGTTAACTTTCAAGGTGCTTTCCAAGCAAGGTGTATGAAAGTGTATCTTCAAGCTCGCCCATTGCGCGGTGCTGGCAGACCATGCTAGAAGAAATCCACGCACGCTGGCGCGGCCAAGGGGTTTCTAGACGGGGCCACACTTCACCGCAGCGCCTGGCATTGCAACTTTCTGTGGCGTCACCATGTTGCAACTTGTCTTCGCCCGCGCGCCTGGGGCCGCGCCGTTTCAATTTGCCAAGGCGAAGGCGCTGCAGGAAGCTGACCCGCAGAATAGGCAGCAGGCGCGCAATCTCTGAGTTAGCGCTCTGTGCTGTGAAATCTGCCGAACGCAACTAGTGCCCCAGCGGAGCTTGATCGTGTCACCCTCAACCCCCCGTTGAGGTGGTTTTGAACATCACCGCTTGGCAAAGTTTGTTGTTTGCAGTTCGATCTTTGGCTGGTCAACTCACTGGCCGCAAGTCATGCTGGCTGCCGCAATAACCTGGCGAAACAAAATGCTGGCTGCCGCAATAACCTGGCGAAACAAAAGGCCTCATTGAGGTTTCTTCGTAGCCCAGCCTTCGTTGACCTGCTTGATCTGCTCCCATCGTTGGCTCCTGTTCAGTGAGGGTCCCGAAAGGTTAGCCTGACTTGAGGGGTATGGACAGGTGAAATACTCTCTCATAAGTCTTGAAGGCCTCGACCAGCACCGTTTTTCCCGTCAAGGTGCATGAGAGTGTATCTTCAAGCTCGAACTGCTGGCAGACCATGCTATAAGAAACCCGCGCGCGCTGGCAAGCGGCCTTTCGCCCGCGCATGCCTGGGGCCGCAGGAAGCTGACCCGCAGGATAGGCAGCAGGGGCGCGATCCTGTTTTTCTCAGCCGGCGCTCTGTGCTGTGAAATCTGCTGAACACTTGTTCAGCAAGACTGGATGTACTCATTGTTGACTGGCGCGACTGGTGCCCCAGCTGCGGAGCTTGATCGTGTCACCCTCAACGCAGCCCAGCCGAGGGTATCGAGCAACACCGTTTTTGCCTGCAAGGTGCGTGAGACTGTTTTTTCAAGCTCGAACTGGTCGAAGGCCCATTGCGCGGTGCTGGCAGACCATGCTATAAGAAATCCACGCGCGCTGGCAAGCGGCCAAGGCATGCGCGTTGCAACTCTGAGGTTTCTAGACGGGGCCACACTTCACTGCAGTACCTGGCATTGGAACTTTTTGTGGTGTCACCGTGTTGCAACTTGCCTTTTGCCCGCGCATGCCTGGGGCCGCGCAGTTTCAATTTGCCAAGGCGAAGCCCCAAAAGCAAAGCTGGTGGACCGGTCCTGCGCAATCCGGCCCAATGGCGGGGTGGGCGGCGCCGGCGGCTGTATCAGCACAGGCGCCGCAGGAAGCTGGCCCGCAGGATAGGCAGCAAGCGCGCGATCCCGGTTTTGCTGAGCCACCGCTCTGTGCTGTGAAACCTGTCAAATACTGGTTCGGCAAGACTGGATGCACTCATTATTGATTGCCGCGACTGGGTGCCCCAGCTGCGGAGCCTGATCGTGTCACCCTCAACGCAGCCCAGCCGAGGGTGGGAAAGCAGGCGAAGAGCCCACAAGACGATCAAAATTCCGAAAGCACATCCTGCGATGAGTGCGCGGATACAAAGCCAGCCAGTGGAGTCAGCAGGCCAGCGTAAACATGCCTCTCAACAGCTTGTCGAACGCCGAACGCCATGTGGAAAGCTTCCCAGTGCTAAAGCAAGCAGTCTTACGCAACACATCAGCACTGCACATCTCCTTCACATTGGACCATGCTCGGTCTGCTTGATGTTCCATAGAGTGATGTAGTGATCCTAGTGCGCCAGCTAAACACAGAGACACTGCTTGCTTGTTTCCCAAACTGCCTGCGTGTCAGGCGGCCACCCCGCCTGCTACTCCCCTGTCAAATTACGTTGTTTTTTCCAAGGTTCCGGGCCTATATGCACTTCCGGGAGGCTTCGCCGGAGGCTTCGCGGGGCCGGAATTCGTACAAGGTTTGGCTTCGCGAGGCTTCGCGGCAATTTGTGGCTTCGCGGTTTGGCGTCTCGCGGCTTCGCGGGCGTTTGTCCGCTGAGCATCTCTGATGTTTTCGCGCTCGGGCAATGCGGTAGTTGCAGTTGAAGTCTGCCCATGCCTTGGCTGCAGCAGACGGAGAGTCTGACGCCATTGGCGACAAAACGGGATACGGCACTAAAAGAGAAAGCCCGCGCCTCAGGGTTGAAGGGCGTGGCTGGGCTTGGGACAGGGGCTGCGGTGGCTTCGCGGAGGCTTCGAGGGGGGCTTCGCGGAAACGGCACGTCGTTTCTAGAAAACCGGGCCTGACACTGACACACACAGTGCAACTTCCTGTAGTCTTCTAGTTAGTGGTCTGCCCATAGACTTCTTGTAGTCTTTGTGCAGTCTTCCCGCAGTCTTCCTGTAGTCTCCCAATTGTCTTCCTGAGGGTCTGAAAGGGAAACGCAGTTATTGGTTCTGCAGGACTTCCGTCGCCCCGCTGTCACAGCACACACTATAACCACGAAGTGGCTTTGCGAAGTGGCTTTGCCCGTGGCTGGCCGGAAACACAAAGAGCTACAGTGAATCTCCCACAAACTCCTATACGCAACCAACACGCACAAACGCACACGCCTGCGCACACGCGCACGCACAAGCACACGCGCACACACCCACACACCCACACAGGCACACAGACACACAGACACACCCACACACACAGACACACAGACACACAGACACACAGACACACAGACACACAGACACACCCACACACAGACACACAGACACACAGACACACAGACACAAAGACACACAGACACACAGACACACAGACACACAAACACACACACAGAGACACACACACACACAGAGACACACACACACACAAACAGAGACACACACACACAGAGACACACACACAGACACACACACAGACACACACAGAGACACACACACAGAGACACACACAGGGGGACACACACAGAGACACACACACACACACACAAACACACCCCGTGACAGCATACAGCTGCTTGCTGTCGAGAAGCGGCGTCTGCCAATGCACAGGATGCATTCCTAGGGGGAATGTGTCTCAAACCACACATTTCATCCCCCATGTCTGGTTTATTTTTAAGACTATGTCTTGTTTCCCATTTTATGTCCTCTGCCTCTTTCTCGTTTGCTTGCTGGCGTTGATCACAGCTTTGGGCTTCATTTGCTTGTCACCCTCTCCGGAAGCTCCACCAACCTATGTCATGCCCACCAATCCAAACATATATGGCATGTTCTAAAAAAAACGGTGACAAATTCGAACACTGCTGAAAACCAGCATGACACACAACTAGGGTCTCCCTTTTTGGAGAACTCCTTGTTTCAGGTTCTGTCAAGCGGTAATTGTTATCACTTGCAGCTGTCCTTGTCACCCCCCTGCAGGTTCTGAGCAGCCCCTGCATCAACATTTCAAAACACTTTCCAACATCTGCCAATCACTTCCGACCTTTTCCATATACCACAACCAAAATGCAACTAGACTCACCGTAGGAATCCCAATTCTGATTTCACCTCCTGCGGGTCGCTTCACCTGTCGGCTTCCGAGCACCACACCAGAGGCTGGTGCTGTGCGTGCGCTGCTCCTGGAAGAAGCCCGCAAAGTCATCCGAGAGCAGGGAGTGGCAAATGCGGTCGCCCCACCTTGCGCCCGTTTCACCCATTGTTTGGCTCTGCATGGGTTCCAAGTTTATATAGGCTTTGCTGCAATATAGGCTTTGCTGCAATCCCAACTATTAAAATTGCCAATGGGTGCTCTGGGCTCTGGAACTGCCAAGCGTAGAGTGCTTGATGTGTTTGGCTTGGGTGGTCAATCTTCAGTGGCCAGAATCACTTTTTTGGAGCTGCAGGAAAAAATCTGAGCGGATGCTAGCTTCAAACAAAAGGCAAAAGGGGTTGATGCATAGATGATGTCATGTCACTGACACCTCTTACAAGAGTTGCTGCTCTGCAAACCCTTCATTTCCGACATAGAACGGACATTTCACGGATGCCAATTTCACAACATACCATGAAATATGGCACTGCATCTGGAGAGGACAAGCACTGAGCCCCACGCAAGTGTTGGTGGTTGATCCTCAGATACCCGCGGCGGTGGAGAGGCCCTCTCTTTGAATGCAGCGGCAACTCTGCATCCCTCTCAACGCAGCTTTCCCCGGCAGATTGACAGCATATTGTAGCGCAACCCAACCACTTGACCCAACCAACCACAACAAGCGAACCAACCGATCGACCGACCCACCCACCAACTTTCCAACCAAGCAACCCAATGACCGAATGACGGAATGACAGAGCGGTTGACCGATCCACCAACTGAGCAAATCTCAACGGGAAGGGCCAATGCCAAGCACGAAGCAAACCTGACCCCGAAAGTGACAAGTTGACAATCAACAGCCTGAGCCAACGATGCCGAATTTGCTTGTTCAATTACAGTGCCTTGCCTCCCCACCAAGGCAGGCACCATTTGGACTCGAACTTGAACTTCGGAGGCTTTGCCGGAAAATCCTTGGGGCAACAGGAGGGCTCCAAGTGGCGGCGGACGTGGCAGCAGAGTAGACAAGTTGTCCATCGAAAGCTGTCCAACATCCAGCGTGAGTGGATGAAGAGCAGCTGCTCGCGCTGGCCCTATTTTTCTTCTTTTCCCAAAGTCATTACTCAGCGGCAAGGTAATGTTGACCCCATATTAATCAACCCCAGTTTATTGATAGGCGGGGGTTCCCCTCCAAAAGTGATGATTCCCGACTAAACCCAGGGACACCCCCCCTATTAATAAACCGGGGTTGACAAATATGGGGTCAACATTAGGTAGTAAACAACCCCAGTGTCTCAGCAGTCACAGTAGCTTCATAGGTGTTCATCATCCAGGACCACGCCATGTTTCAGCTACATCTTGACTGCATCCCTAGTGCTTCATATCAAGTATGCATGTGCAACTGGGTCGAGCCTCTACAAGGACGAAGCATTTCCTCAACATGTTGAACTAGGACAGCCAGCTGTTTGGTCAAAAACCCTCATGCCTTGGGTTCCTGCATGAGCCCAGAAAATTAAAACAAAAACATGTTCCGCATGGGGCATCATCATGATGCAGCTGACCCAGGGCAAGCCAAACTAGGACCTGTGAGCTCCAACGGCTGCCTTGCGTTTGCCTGTGCGTCTTGGCGCCGCACTGGTCCGAAGCAAAGCCTGAATGCCGGATGGCTCGAGGCGGGTTCTGAAGCCTTCATTTTTTCCACTACGCCCTCTGAATTGTCTTGCTCGAGATCTCCTTGTGCGAAAAGAAGAAGCTTCTTGGTGTGGGGTATCGTCGGTAGGAAAGCGACAAGGAGTCATTTTTTAAAGCAATTGAACACAGGCTTCATAGGAGAAAACAAAACATGAGTAAGCAACACTGGTTCACAGTTGGCACCCCTTAGTTTTTCCTCGGTGTTTGAGCCCTTGCTCATGCTTTGGATATAGACCAAACATTGTCAGAAGCGTGTGCAGTTTTTAGCCTGTTGTTGCACGGATTTTCAGGTATGAAGCTGCTTCAAAGGTGCAACGGGCCAAGCACCAATAGGCCGCATGGCTGATTGAGAAAACACGTAAGCGGGTAGGCTAAATGGCCCCTTCGGTGATTCATGTTTAGGAACCACAAGGTTCTTAAAACTGCTTGAGGGGTGTGTGAAGTTTGCCAGTGGGCTCTGCCAAGTTTAGCCCACAGCCAGTTCCAAGACAAACTCCTTAGATAATCTTAGATCATGATTTTGTGCAAAGCCTCCGAAAAGTCTGTCGAGTTTACAGTAGCAACAATCAAGCAACTCACAAGCCCCCTGCACGTACCATGTGTCCAAACATCTGTTCTCTCTGACCTCGCGGCAAAAGCAGCACCCTCTAGCGCTGTGATTGGCCCGCTTGTAAGAGCCAAAGACAACAATAAGCTCGATCCGCGTAGGTTTCTGCAAGCACGCCAATGTTGTCCATCTCTACCCAGTTCGGGGCTATGCCTTTTCCAGCACATGACCTTACCAGCCGAGACAACTACGCTGAGGGGCAAAGCCCACAAAGGGTCAGCATCCGTCTGAACGCCAACATTTTCCAGAAAGCCAAGGTACCAAAATTGCGACTTCGACCCAAAGGCAATGGGGGATCCACAAGCACAGCGGAAGATATAGACAAGCAATGAGACGTTTGAGTCCCGTTGCGAGATCCATTGCCCATGCATGAGCCCCAGGCGTAGCGTAGAGGGAGAAGTCACAAGCGCTGAGAGTGGAGCCTGGCCCTCCTGCGAGCTGCGAGTGGACGCGGCTGTGCCGGGGAGGCAGGTCTTCCCCCCCCCAGTGCCAGGGCTTGGTTGGAGTCCCAGAAAAACTGGTTCTGGACTGGCTTGTTTTGGCTTTTCGGGGTCATTTGCCAGTGTCCCCCCGCAAGTTCAGGGCCCTTGAATGACCGGCTTTCCCATCTTTTCGCGGTGGCAACTTGCCCACTTCGCAGAGTTGTTGTCGTCAAACAAAAGGGCCCTTCAAGGAAAGCTTCCAGGTAAGCTTCGAGGGCATCTTGGCAACAATCTGCAAAGGTTCCCATTGTGAGAAAGCTCTTGGTCCAGTCTCACCCTCTGCACTAGATTGGGGGAGGGGCCATCTATTGTTGGAAATGATCCAGATGTGACTCCTAAGGTGGACCACCAGGAAAACCGGACATCAAGCTTGAAAGCCTTCATCCAGGCTGCACCCCTCCCACGGTTCCCTGAGCCTTCCAGAAACCAGCACGGCAAGGCTGTAAAGTAACAAACTGCCGAGGTCAATACGGGAGTCCTCCAGTACACCCAAAACCCTGCACCCGACAAAATACTTTACAGAACACCATTTCCGGATTCGAGGGGCTATCCCTCTGATGGAATTACTTTTCGAAATCTGCGCTGCCAATCCAAAATACAATTGCTTTAGGAGACACCCCTCCACCTCTCCCCCCCCCTCCTTATTTAGCAGTATTAAGCCTAGTCGGGAAAGGGGATGTAAGGCTTAGGGAAGGGATTTGTTGTTGGTGCAAGGGGCACCGATTCTCCATTCGAGCTCTCAAATTCATCCGGTGGTCCGAGTAACAAGTCCAATATTGACGTATAGACCAAAAACACTAAAGATCGATGCAGCCGGGGAACTTGACCAACATCCAACCATGGCTGGAGCCTGCATTGGACCAAACCATGTGTTCATGAAGCCGCATGCTTATTAGTAGGTCAGCGCCACAACTGCTTGAGAGCTCTCGATCCATGCAAGTCACGCCAATGTCTTACATACGCATTGCGAACACATGTTTTCCAAAAACCTGGTCAGTCACTACCGGAGAAGTGGCCCGGCACATCCCTCAACCCTGCGCCCAAGCCGGTAGCCGGTCCTACGAAGGGCGCGCTGGCGGGGAAGTGAAGGGCTAAATGCCAGGTCGTCACCTGCCAATCCGCAACACCCCACCGAATCTCACTCAGCTCATCTTCAGCCTCCGTGGGTTACGGGGGTCTTCCTTCTTTGGGTTTTAAGCTCAGGTTTTCCGAACCCAAAAAATCCAAGGCAAGCGCGAGCCCAGGGCTAGTACTTCAGCCCAAAATAGCCTCAAGTCGTGGAATTCAGGAATTGCCATTGCCTGAGTCAGCCTGATCACGGATTGAGAACAACACAGTGGCAGGTACATCTTCAAGTCTTGCCCCTTATAATCAACAAGAAAGCGTCCGAGAAGGTCAATCAACATGTTCGCGCGTCAATTGATCGTTGCCCAGTTCCTTTCTCAAGGCCTCCCGGGTTTCCTACGGGTCGCATGCCTCATCCTCCAGGTATATGTCCACGTTCTCAACCTTGGTCCCCCTGCCCGTCCGTAGGGGGTCAGTCCACAAATGTCGACAGTTGTGTCTCCTGTGCAGCCTTGATAACTCCATACATGCTGTGTTCCCAAACTTGACCAACCAATAAGAGCTCCCAATGCACAAGCTCACACAGGCGCCTCATGCAGCCACGGCCCGTTGCTCTTGGATAGGACGGTGAAGGCTCACGGCGATTGTTCTCCGGAGGATATTGAAATTTACGTTCGGCAGAGGTACAGTAATTAAGGAAGTTTATCCCTGATGCTAGGGTCATTACGATACCTCCTTGTAAACCTGTAAACCTGCCAAATAGTTCGAGTCGTGATGCAACCAACTTATCTCAGGCAATGATGGCCTCAAGGACTGCGTTGTGAGTTTTCTGTTTTAAACAATCAACATTATTAAATAAACTTTTCCAACATGCTTCACTTGCTGATTGCATTCCATCCAAATGGTTTGTCCTGTTTCAACACTTCCACAAACAAAATCACAAGAACCCCAGCTGAAACATGCACTCTCGCTGCAAGGCAAGGGTGTGTTTGGGAGTTGCCAAGAAGTGCTGATTCGCCTGTTTAGTGCCACGCACGCTGGTTTCTCCGCATTGCCCTATTGTATGGAGCAAAATAAGTACACCTGATAATGTTCTAATCATTACTTGTGTTGGCCTCAAAATCCCCTCAGTCTACTTCTTTAGGCTCCACAATGGTAAATGGAACAGGGTATTTCTGACCCTTCTTGGATCCTGACCTTTTATACGCGGCACAAAGTTGCCAAGGATTGCAACACAAAGCTATAGGGGCCGCACTGGAGTCGCTGGGGTATATTCGCGGGACCGGGGCCCGAAAGCTCACTGTTCTGCCAAACACCCTGGATAAGATAGGCCCAAACCTTCAAAACTTAGAAGACTTCCAAATTTCTCTGAAAAACATGGATCTGTGGGTTTCATGCTAGTTTTGCAGTACAGATTTCTGGATTTCTTCCCCTGCAAAAACTAACGTGGAACTCCAATTGGATTTGATACGCCATTTCGGGACCTCCATTTTGGAACCTCCTTGGAAGGCATCCATGTCAATTTGCAGGGGGAGTCTGCTTTTGTCTGATTTGTGAAGCCCAGTGTCGCCTTTCTCAGGGGTCGTTCTAAGGCTCCAGGCTGGCTTCCGAGAGACATCCGCCAAGCACCGCTGCACCAGCTTCGCGGTCTCCATGGTTTGATGGCTATGGCCCTATGGCCCCCACGGGATATCCACAGGCTTGGGAATATCAACCTGAATGGTGTTCCATGAGCACAAAACGGTGGTGAGTGGACAAAATATCAACAACCATGTGTTCTGAGAATATCTACCGGAAGGTTTGGATGGGTCTCTGTGGAGTGTCAGGCATCCAGCCTTTGAGCCCCTTTGCTCCCTGCCATAAGACGTAACGAGACTGTGGATCAGGAGCTTGTGCTCTCTCCCTTGGCTGGTTCCTAAACATGAGCAACCTGAAAAAATGAAGCGGCAATCCTGAAGGAAGTGAACACGAGAAGAGCCAAACTCATCCGCTCTTGCAAGGGGAAGCTGTTCTTGGCAAGCTCAACTTTTAGGATGTCCATGGCATGCTCATGTCAGCCGTTAGTGATGGGCAATGCGACAGACTGCTGTTGAATGCCCGAACAGTATCAGCAGGGATGAGTAAAGCTTGAGCTCTGTGCTTGGAATGATGATCCATTTCGGTCCTGCTTCAGGTTGGGTCACTGAGATGTCGAGCCGGATTTGGCGAAGTTGGGGACGAATCTTCCTGAAGATCATGGCAAGACCTGTTTGACGCCCTCTGACTTGGACAAGTCCTGCTGTGACGCCCCTCTTTGACGCTTCTTGCTTGCGTGTGGGAAGAAACGCTCAATTTGCTAGGCACCCCCAAAAATTGGCACCACACCGCCGCGCTACTGTACTAACAGCTGCCCGCCGTCAACTACGGTGCTAACATTCAACCCATGGTGGCACTCTCAATGACAAATCAGGAGTAAAGCTCTGCCACTTTTCCGAATAGGGAGCCTGGTGAAATCTGGCAGGCAACATTGCTTCGTGGACAACTGGAAAGTGAAATGAGGCACGGCCTGCGTGACTGAGGCCATGGTCTGTTTGAACTCTGCTACTGATGTCGGAGCAAGCTGTGAAACCTCCTTCCAAGGCCATGTGCTTGCACACGGCATATCTATGCTTGGCTGGAGACCCTCTGTGGGAGGTACACCTCTGTGGGAGGTACAGCCAGTGGCAACAGCTCCAAACATGCCATGATTCCAAACAGTCGAGTCCTGCTCTCGCACAGCCGTTTGGAAACAACGGCTGCTCACTAGCTGCACAAAAGCATGAGGGAACCTGCACAATGGGTTGTTTGAACTTGGTTTCAACACGCAAAAGTTCAGTCGCTCCGGAATCGTGGACATGCCTCGGGCAGCTGCCACCAGCTGGATTTAGAAACTGTTGCTGTGGGCTTTCGCCGCCATGGGAACTGGAACTGCAGAGCACAAGCTCGCACAAATGGGCAATGCGGCAATGCCCCACCGTTTCAACAAAAAGCTGGGCATGTTGGTTGCTGAAGTTTGGGCACTGCCTATTAATCTGTCTAGAGAAGCGTGATGCAAACCGCTTGGAACAAAGCCGTCATTGCAGAAACTGCCTGCGAGCACCCTGACATACTGAAAAAACATCGTAGTTACTCGACCCAGTCAGGAAAACACAAACACATATTTGTAACAAACTCCAAGAGCAAGAAAGATCGACCAACCATCCCACCCACCCACCCCACCCACCCACCCACCAATCAACCAACCCACCAACCAACCAACCAACCAAAACAAACACGGGAGGCGCAAATCGGCCCGCAGCGTTGGGACCTCCCTCAGCCATAGGCGGGCTTGATGGACACCCCCCAGGTGGAGCCATGCGCGCCGAAGCCGAAATCATCGATGCCATCGCCCCAGGTGAGCGGCAAGTCCCACATGGAGTGGAAGATCCACCTGGGCTGGACAAAAAAAACACCTGGACAACCCTTGTAACCTCATACCCTGGTATCGGATAGTATCCGTTTTTCATGGTTTTTTTCCCCTGCATGGGTTTGCAGTGTTTTGGCCGGATGGGGCGCAAGGAGCTGGTAGAGGAGCTGTTGACTTGTTGAAGCTAAACGCTAGGTGACAGGACTGGGTCGGGAAAATGGCGTCCTCAATTTATTTTAAGGTCTGAAGGGAAAGCAACCACAACATGTTGAACCCCTCAAAATGTTCGCAGGCAGTACATTGGTTTGCCAGTAGGAGCAACCCCTGGTGCCCAGTGACCCTGGTGGATCCATGGGATTGATACACCCACCAAACACGAAGGGGATTTGGGTGCCGCTTTTACTGGGCCCCTCTTTCCCTCCAAAGGCCGAAAAGAATGCAAACTGGACCTGTTGGCAATCAAGCCATTCGGCATCAAGGGTTCTAAGAGAGGTACCTGTTGGCGGCTTCAGCAGCATAGATTGGAAACAGGTTGATTAAATATCCGACAAATCTAATTGCTCTGATTGCCAAGGGTAAATGCACCTTATGCACCTGGCGTACGCTGCGTAAGCCAATGCGCAACGTGGATATCTGCGGACATTGTCACATGCAATCTCGTGATGCTGGTGGGAAATCAGCATTGCCGAAACATGGTATCACAATTTGTCATGTGTCGCAACTTGCAACTCCATGCAGCAAATACTGCCATCGGGCAATGTTGGCGCAACATGTCGCATTGTTTTCAGGGTTTGTCAGGCCTCCCAAGCTGCAAATCGCATCATGAGACCCAACACCTTCTTCCCTCCAGCCCATGTCAAGCAGTACCCGCTCACACGAACACTCCACATCCAGGTATTGAGCCTTGCCTTGGACATGACCCTTGATCCAAGTTGCTCCAAGCGCATCATCAAGCGATCCCGCTGTAAAGCGTCCAGGATACCACTGGCAAATTCCCGGTACCGGCTCTTGCTCGCGTCAGTGCCGGACACCTCTCTCGTTGCCCGCTTGGCAAGATTCGGCAATCCGATTACGGAAACTATCTGCAATGTCTACAAACATTCCCAAACCTGAAGCCAGGCATGCTCAATTTACCCCAGCCATGAAATAGGCAGAAACGATCGACTCTGTGAACATTTTCGTGTGTGGCTGAGGGGCATGGGTCGGTCCTTGATAAAAGTAATGCATGCAACTATTATCTATACTGCATTTGTGCCTTCATGAGAATAGTGCGCTACTTGCTTGGTCAAATTCCGACATGCACCGACCCTGCCCGCTCTTATTGTCATATCCCACTTGTGGTGACCAATCAAATATTGACCTTTCATTGCAGGTGTTCAAACAATCTAGGTACTTGCGGATTGACTCTTCTGTCGTGGCTGCAACATTGACATGACCACTGATTGAAGAAGTGTCCAAGCCAACGCAAACTCATCATAATCCTGCACAGCCAGTAGATGTGACGCCCGCTAGGGGTCCACTTGTCTGGCCTGCGAACCAAACTAAGGAACCCTAGCAAACCCATGATTCCAACAAGAAACAAGCCAAACGTAAACCATACATCATGAATAAGCCTGAGCTTCTTCCTATCTTCAGACCGCAGCATGCGCCTCAATGGTTTTCGACGCAGCTTGCCCAACCCAGTGTGACGCTTTTGATCATGCCCACAAACCAATGGCCAGGCCGAGCGATCTAGTGTTTGAGGCCAAGGCAAGCTCCCAAGCTCTGCCACCCTCCTGTACGAGTCGGTGCTTTAATTGCTGGATGTGCTCTTGATGGTTGTAGGGAGGTCAAAAAAGATCACGACGAAAACGGCAACCATGTTTCCGCCAAATGATCGCGCAGGATTGCCATTGCACAACAGCCCGGAAGGTTTCGCTATCACACATCCCTAGAAGTCAACGCTCCTCTTCAAGAAGCTCATTTTCAGTCTCCCTGGCCGGTGGATGGGTGACTGACCAAGGCTCCGTGTACCAACGATGCTTGCACTTGATGGCTATCACAGCTGGGTGGCAGCAAATTACGAGTGTCCAGCCCGGGTTAAGCCTTGCGGCCTTTTAATTCTTGGGGAGTGGTTTTTTCATGTTTTTTCAAAGTAAAGCATGCCCTCTTAGATGAGTTGCTTTTCCCTGCTAACCAACCAGGGCCTGACTGATCCTGGGTTCCCTTTCCTCCACGCCGACACCCCGCCGAGGGCACCAGGAAGCGCGCGACCAGCAGATCCCCGGGCTGTGAGATGTGGCCCAAGGTCACCGGGACCATGACACCTTCCGCGGCCTGAGCCAGTTGTTTAAGTTGCGTGGCTTCGGGAATCGTGATCCGAAGCCCGGATTTGCCAGAGCTGAATGGAGTGCAAGACCGCTCATGACTCATGAGCCAATGATACCCATTCTCATATGAGCCACGGTCAGTGCTCATTACGTTGTGAAGTGCATGGGAACTTGGGAAGTAAGCGACTCTGCCTCAGGTTACTATTGTGCACGAACAACTGAGTGTACCTATTGCCTCAAAATCCCCAAAGCTCAGCTTGATGTGGAGCTCGCCGCAAGCCGCTCCCCCCCGATTTGCAGACCAAGCTGCTGCCAGCTGCAACAGCGGAGTGTCCTTGGACGGCGTGCTGCGGCGAGGTACCAACAACTTTTGAGGAGGTCCCCACTGAAACTCAAAGCCATTTAAGCACAATTAAGGGCAAGGGGGCCAACGTGTGGGGAGCAGCAGGCAGGACGGATGCGGCGCAGGACAAAGGAGCTGTTTGCCTGTTCGCTGCCCGGCAATGCAAGCAAACAGCCAAAGCCAACAACATGGACTTTGCTTTTCCTGGTGATGCTCCTGTAAAACAAGGTCGTGAAAAGGGTACTCTCAACCAAAACACCAACCCACAATCGACAAACGGGTCATATGCCTCATTTCCCGTTGGGGCAGCCGAAACCTTTAGACATTAAGGTCAAAAAAACACCCACCCTCAAGCGAGCCCAACTACGCCCGTCCGGCTACAACCTGAGCGGCTAACAGCTGCTGCATGGGCTGGTCGCGGCCATATCTCCAAAACATGTTGTGCGGGCTCAGCAGGTCGGAGACCTGTTTGCCCCGTAGGAGGCCATGATGATCTTGAAACTGAACTCGCCCCAAGGTTGATAACGCTCAAAGAAACACGGATCACGTGTTTACAGCTGGGTAAAAATAATATCGATGGCATAATTTCATTTAATGTTCTCCCGGTTCCATCTAAAAAACACTGCACCATGGCCATGAGAACTGGTTCAAAACAGGACTCCAAAGTATACCCCTGAAGCGCCATGGGATCGTAAAGTTGCAGGAAGGATCGATATCCATGCAAGGAGCAGTCTGCTCTAAAGCTTCTTCTGGCAACCCCCTGCCTCCTCCAACTTGGCCGAGATTGCTTGAAGTTGCTTCTCCGCCACGTGGACCTCTGACAGGGTGGCACAGAAGGACACGATAAGTCGTACACACATGCAGGCAAGTCAAATTCAAGTTTCACATGGCTCGGTCGGCTTCTGTCGGCAAGTCCAAAGGATGAACAGATCTCGGCGGGACAGCATCTAAAAAAGGGGCATTTTGGCCGTCATGCCCGTCATGAAGGCGGAGATCATGGCAGAAGGAGGTGAAAGTCACTGAACATCTAGCATTCAAAGCAAACATCACATGGCAACGAGGGACCCTGGAAAGTGATTCCAAGTCTATTTGCGAGGGCGCTTTGGGTAGAGGGTTGGAGCTTTGAAGGCGAAGGTATGTTCCCAAACATGCCACATGGGTGCGTCAGCCGAATACGTGGCTGAATTGCATCTGGAATCTGAAGCTAGTAGCCTGAGGGGTGATAAATCCGGTCGGACTGTGAGATCGATCCTTGCGGTTGGTCAATGACCTTGATGTGAGCAAAGGGCACCACACCTAGGCACCCTTGAGTGCTCCAAGTGATTCTTTGTGGGGGCAGAATCAGCAAGTCCTTGCCTGAAGTGCCTGATCTTCAGTCTGTTGAAATACCCTCAGCAAGCAAGGCTTCCGACCAAAGGGGCCGGTTAAACACCCAAAACTGGACCTATGGCACCCAGATTCACATATGGTCTGCTTATGCTTGTTTGATTTGAAGGCCAAGGGCAAGCTGAAGCCAACCACTCGCTGCTGCTGAGGGCGCGTGGGGCAAAGACTTGAAGGCGCCGGTTTGCAGGACCATCTGCACTGTTTCCGAAGCTGCCAGCAAAAGCCCCGACTCCTGACCGGAGAGGCACCCAGGGTCTGAGTGCCAAGGACACAAAACATTGAGTGTATATAACTATGCTGCGCTAAAAGTTTAACTTTTAGTGGGTTAAATGGAAACTACCACTAAACACTAGAAGGCTAAACAGCTGAGGGGATGGCTGGGAGCCACCAAGATAATATCAATCTCTCTAGCAAAGCTTTGTTCCAACAGTCCATGGCTGCAGTGAACTTTGTCTTCTGTTTTGTTGCTTCCACTAACCAGGACCAAGTGCGTCCAACTACCCAAGCGAACCCCCCATCGAACATTGGGTGACACTCTTATTGGAACAAAACATACACTCCTGCCAGTAATCATGGACTCCCCAAAGCCATTGCTGTTCGACCGGATTGCGGATTGAGAACATGCTCGGGGGCAACTCATCAGGCACCGCGCCTATCGTCAGGCCCACTAAGGCACTTCCTTCCCTCTTGCCTATTCTGGCAGCGGTTCGGGTAAACATAACAGCACATCAATCATCCAATCCAATTGATACATCATGTTATAGCATGGCTTGCACACAGCTAATATTGTGCTTGTTGAGTTGATGTTGCCATACTCTGATTGTGGGCGAAAACACTTTAACCCTGCTGCTTCCCATTGTTTATAACAAACATGGTCTTTCCAAAGGGCCTGACGCCCAAGGAAACTGGACGACGAATCTGCCAGTAGCATGGTTTGACTGGCATGCTGATCGTTCTGCTCAAACTCTCCTTCCGCAGCTGGGCGTCAAAGTCCACCGTCGGCTCGGGTTCAGGATCCGGAGGGGCTGGCACGTAGAGAGGCGCCTCCTGCTTGGGTGCCTCGCGAAGGGTGTCCGCGACAGGTGCGCCGGATTTGCTTGCGCACATGCCGAGGTTGCGTTTCCTGCCAGGCTTCCTGATTGCATTTTCCAAGGCTGCTCAATGCTGGCTTTCAATAGCATCTCTTTCAACGCGCCAAGTTTGCATCGTGCCCGTCTGCGCGTGTTTGTCGATGAATGTAGTTTTAGTTCATTCCGGTGATGCTTCATTGTGCATGCAATATGCTGGGTCTGCGAGAAGATGTCTCTGAGCATCACACCAGTTTGAAGTGTCACTGTGCGCAAAACGCATAAATCTGCAAATGCAACTTCTAGGCCGCAACAGCAAACACATAAAAGACTGCAGTGCTCGACCTGCCCCGTTGTGGAGCATGCTTTGGGGAGCGCGCAGCCACTCCAGCGGTGCCAGCATGATTCTGCGACAGAGTCGCAATTGCAAAGTACGGGGCTGCTCTTCAACAACTTCAGCCACAGCCAATGCTCATTTTCTAGGCAATTGAGTCAGCAGCAAGCCAGCTCTGACAATGCACATTGGCTTCCCCTCTTGACTCTTGCTCGCAACAATGGAACCAATACAACTTCGAACCTGGTACGGCAAAGTGTTGCAAAGCCAGCCAGCCAGCTCACTTTTGCACTGTCTATGGGAACTCTTCTTTCACGAGCCAGGCAATGAAAGGCGCCGAAGTAAAAACAGCAAAATTAACTGAACACCGTGACAGTCACTTGATCAAGCAGTCACTGAATGAGCTGCATCGTGTGGGAGGATCCGTGGGGCGCAGCCCGGGGTTGCCTAAAGCAATTGCCCACTGCCCGGCTCACAAGCCCTCTCTCTCGGTATCTCTCCATGTGTTGGTCTTGGTTGTTGTCTCTCGCTGCACTGCCAGCGCCTCGGCTTGCTCTTGAAGCACGTTGCGTCTGCGGTAGCGCAACAGCCTGGGAAGCTCCAAGACAACAAGTGCAACGGCAAACAGCAGACTCGGTGCGCAACAACATCAAACGCACCATGTACAATGTGTCAATAAATTGGTTTGGACATTCGCGCTCGCTCGTCCAGTGGAACTACTGGCAGGTTCTGGAAGCTGTCATTCAACCGATGTTGCTGCACATGAAGCATTTTTATTTGCCGTTACCCGCAGTGTTAAACCTCAATGTCTTTAAAGCAATTCGACCCCCCTCCCCCCTGGCCAGCGGAAAGCATCACCTCACCCAACAACTCACGGAAGGGTAGGGTTTGCCTCACAATCCAGTAGTGGACCACCCAAAAAAAAGTGGTTTCCTTTTCGTTTCCCTTTCAAACCCCATGCCAAAAACAGTAATGTTCAATCTATTCAGTGATTTCTTCACAACCCTGATCATATGTCAGCCGCCTATAACTAGACTACAGGATTGAAGATCCACACAAACCTCTTCCATCTGTCCGGATCTGCTAGTCTGAGCCGCCCCGCCAAAGGGCCGTGGTCAAAGTCACCGCAGCAGCTGCGAAGTCCACCAATGGCCTACGCGGGTGGGCCTTGCTTTGGCCAAGAGGCTCAGTGGTGAACTTGATGGGTTCCGGCCCCTTTGGTGGACCATGCCCACCGAGCACTTTTGAGGTTCTCGACTGAAAATCATAGTCATGTACCTGTGATTGTACTGAGCAATCCATATTGATTGAAAAAACCGGTTGCTCATGCTTACCATTGTTTGGTTTAGGGTTTAGGGTTTCGGTTTAGTGTTTAGGGTTGAGAATTAAGGGTTTAGGGTAGGTTCGGGGACGCTTCCCTTTAGTTTCAAGAACTGGCAGGGACTTGAATCCCCAAGCCACCAATCCAAACCACCGATCATTGCCTGAGAACTAGTGCAATTCACCATCAATTCACCATAATTTGTGCATGGCAGAAGCAGAAGCTGACGATCCCTGGATCAAATGGATTGAGCCAAATCTCTTCGCTCTTTCGAGTTTCACTAGATGGTTGGACACATTTGCTAACATGATCGGAATTTGCAATGTGTCTACCGCAGTTTGGCTCCCGCGCGCGCGCGTGTTCTACTAATTTAAGGGCGGGGGGGGGGGAGGGGGGGGGGGTAGGGCAAAACATGCATGTTTCCTGGATATTCTCCATATTTTTTCACCATTCCAGTCGGGGCACTCGCTCTGGGTCGTTCAACAAGCATGAGCGCGATGCTAAAACTACTTGGCGAGGAAGGAGGGTATGCGTGACAATGAGTAGCTGCCAGGGCCTGGATTATGGTGTTGCACAACGGGTAAACTCAGCAATGAGAAGGGTAAATGGGCACTGGCGCACTAACATGCACCCCTCCTCACCCCATGGTTCTCAGTCCGTGAGGTGAGTTGTGTCGCCGCGCGCTGATTGCTGATCTTCAACAAGGAAGCCAAGTAACCGAACAACTCACTAATCTCGCTCATTGAAGGTGAGTAACGCTGGAAGTGAGTCAGAATCACGGTTGGGGAACCTGATCGCTTGCATCGAGCGTATCGTCCGTAGCTTCCCATACCACGCTTGCGTACCACTCACTCAAAAAGGAGTACCAGCATGAGCCTGGCGACTTAGCCCCAACATCCTTTGAAACAAATGCAAGGGAATCAACTTGCAGTGCGCATTGCGTCAGCTGTCGGAATCTGCTTTGAGCCTCTTGCGCGCCTGGTCGGCCATGTCATGATCTGGCTGCGCAGCGCAGGACACTGGTGCGGCAAAAAGTTGCGAGAGGGCTGCCTATAGCAACTGCCTGGTGATTCTGCTTGGCGGTGCTGCCAAAGAAGGTGTGCAAACAACTGGAAACAGCTCCTCTAGTTGTTCAGCTGCACTTGCAGCGAATCGCTGCAGTATTTCATTTCATGCGCAAGTGACATTTGCTTGAGCACGCAAAGGCTCTCTCGCGCACAAAATGGAAGCTGAATGACCCTGCGACCAGCCTTACACCTCATGTGTTTGCAAGCCAGGTCTAGACAGCCTAAAATTTAATCGAAAGACACAGCTTCCGCTGTCATGGGGTGTCCGAAGAGTGATGGCTTTTTGGTCTTCAAATGGCCTTCTGCCTGTATTGCCCCGAGGGGTTCCATCGGAGGCCTCTTTCTTATGCCCTGCACCTGCCGACCAAAACCCTTTCAGGGCTCATGGGCACTGGACGGCCCGTGCTTGGGACAAAGGCCCTTACCGATCTTGCGGGCCAAAGCTGCCTGAGCTGCAAGAAGCGGGCCCTTTGGCGGGCAGCACATACTTGGGAAGTAATAATATCACCAACTAGTTCTCAGTATGCTCTATCTAGTCTATCGATAAACACTCAAGCCATAGGTGGTTCCCTTGTGGCTTCACTTTTAAACAACCTCCAACATGTACACGTGCCATAAGAGCGCCAAATTGAGGCTTAGCTGCGCCTGGCTGCTGTTCCTGCACGACCCCATGTCACATCAGCGCCAGATTCCAGAAAGGCAGCAACGCAGCGTCAGTTGCTTGAATGTGCTAGACTCGCTGGACGTTTCTCAACTGCTCTTGCGCCTGCTGGGGCATCACTTTTAGACGGGAACATTCCCCATTAATAGGACGGGTTTCATCTGGGTCAGCCTTGATCGGCAGAAAGCTCTCTGGTTAGGATTTCCCACTCCATGGGTGCGTCTGGAGCCTGCGATGCCTTTGGGCACCGAAGAGACTCTGCATCAGGACCCGGACAGCAAAACTCGGCGAACCCCAAGTTGTCTGTCAATTCCCTGCTTCCAAAAAGCAGAAGCACTGCCGGCAAGAGAGGCAAACAAAATTCAATGCACCCGCATGGAAACTCATCCTGAATAGCAAGGCTGCACATGACAGCATCAATGCAAGAGGCTAAGGAAACACATGGCGCAGCTTCCTTCACTTTTTTTCAGTTTCGCGTGTACGCCCGCAAGCAGCTAGCGACTTGCCTCGGGGCAGAACAACGTTTCCCAAAGTTCTTTGTACTCAATGAGACCAGCTATACCATGCATCACGCATTAGATGATAGACATGTGGGTTGTTCATCAATTCAACTCTGATGGCTTAGTGAGTGTCTGCCAAAAGGATCAACAATGCAGAAAATGATAATTACTCTTCTGCAGACCGAGAGGCAGCCTCCAAAAAACATCGATTTAGAGGAGTTTCCTTTTTGACAATGGACACCCTTTGCGGGCTCTTTGTTAAACACCCGCAGAAAGCAACCCCAAAACATACTGGTCTGCCTGAACACGAAGGCAACCACTAGCTCGAGGGTCATTCTTTGCATGAACCTTCATTAATCTTCAACGTGTGCAAAATGCCCTGCTCTATTGGAGGAACACGTGCCAAAGAGAATACGCTTCCAAGTTGTCTTCAGCTTTCGTGATGGCCCTGCACATGGCCCGAAACCACCCTCAGCATGCTGTGTCCAGTGAGAGGTTGCATCATCGAGCTTCTCTTGGGGTCAGTGGTGTGTTTGAGGATAGTGGAGACCCTGTTTTAGAGCCAAAGGTTAGCAAACCAACACCTCGTGATGAAAAAAAACCACTCGATGTAACCTATATAGACAAAACATATTCGGCACGCAACGTGTCATATTGCGGCCATGGGGCGAGTGCTAGCTCTCGTCCTCCGAGTCAGAGGCGCCCTATGCATGCGGGCTGCCAGGACTGATCACTGCAGTTCCCATATCTGACAGGGCCCAAAAAGGCCCATTCGAGAACACGTTGAATGTGTGCAGCGCAGCCATCCTTGTGAGGACACGTCACACGGTTTCAACCCAAGCAGAAACAGGCTACGACACAAGTATCTGCAAAACGCATAAGGTGTCGCGGTTCTGGGTCTAGAGCATAAAATGACGGAATCATGTACGGAGGAGACCTTCATGGGCAGCTCGTTTTAGCTCGCCGCGGATTGAGCAAATATTATTGTGTATATATGGGAAAAGCCCGAAACGCCGTCGTTTTGGATGGAACCTCCTCTCCGGTTGGAGGTGTCGGCTACCATGTTGACTTGAAGGATAGCCCGCCTTTTTAGACGACATGGGCATGCCCCATCATTCCAGAAGCACACAAGAATCCTGCAGAAAATGGTTCAACAAACTAAGATCTCGGAAGGGAAGCCACAAGACAGTGAAACTCATCTACGGCTAACCTGTGTCATAGGCCTTTCAAAAGGCAGAAACTCCCTCCCCCCCCCCCCGCTTGAGGCTTCCGCAATGTGGTTAAAGCGGGAATAGTCCAGCACCTCAGCGACGAGTGCGGCACACCCGTTGCTCCAGATCGGGGGGTCCCTTCTCCTAGTCCGATATCTGGGTGCTGAATAGGGGGTGTGGACAAATCTGAACATTTCCCATTGAATTGTGGTTTAATTTGAGGAATTAATTAACAATTATATGGGCTATTTATCACCCAAGATCTTGAACAAAGGATAAAGGCACGTGCCACGCCCTCCGTTGGCAATTGGTCTCTGCACAGGGTGTCACAAAGGGCAGCCTCTTGATCATATGATTACATTGAACACCCCAGAAGTGGGCGCAAGGTGATGCGTAGGTGTTACCAAAGGCCGAGCATGCTCTGATGCCAAGCGGCAAAGTTAGTTAATTGAAGTTACTTCCACACTGGAACACGTGAAGCTTCCGACAGGCCACTTCAAGCCACTTCCAAAAAGCACAGTGCCTTCCCTCACCCTTCTCCTGTCTTGAACACTTGATGAAGAAAGCACCTCGACCCACTGACGAAAGGAACTCAGCACCACGGGACCCACGGGACCGCGGAAAGCCCAAACTGAGATTCCCGGCGTTTCGTGCCACGCTCGCTGCGCTCGCACTCGTGTCGGCCTGGTGAACTCTCGCGATTGCATTGATATGGATGGAGCCCATAGTATTGCAAGAAGGAAACTTAAGGAGTCATTTGAATCATTCAAACTTTTGTCTAACTAAGCGGCGCTTTGTTTTCCTTCGGTCTATACATCTATGGATCAGCAGCCCCCTGGCCCCAACATGTTGCTTGCTCGCGCAGGACATCCCCTTGACGACTCCGGGCAAAGGCCAGAAACATCTAACTGGCCAGTGCCACCCTTGAATCCCATCTCGCATTTGAGGGGAACCATGACGGCTCCCCTACCGAACAAAAAGGTGTTCAGCACCCTTCGGCACCCTCTTGTAAGAAGGTTCTGACAACCTTTCTGGGGGGGAGGTGGCGCCTTGGGTTCTTTCCCTTGCATTGAACGTTGCCACGGGTCAGAGGGTCGGCTTCGACCGCAATCTGCCCGCAATCCCAAGAACTGACCGCCTGAACCGCTTGTAACGGTGCCAATAGCACATCTCCCGCGGCCCCTTAGAGCCAGGCCTTGCTGACCTTCTCCTGCATCAAGCAACACCCAACTGCTTCACCATACTCTGGTGAATTGCTAGATCCTAGGAATGGCCAGGCGCGCACAGCGCTCGAGGTCTTGGACGGGTTGTCGGCAAACAGCGAAAACGTGACGGGTACCCCCGTGGAATCCGTGGAACCTGACAAACGGCCTCCACATTATTGGGGTACCCAATTCAGAGGGTTTTAAAGGGGAAAGCATACGGAAACCACCGGTTCCTACTTTGAGACACACCCTGCAGTGGGCTGCATGCGTTTGGTGGCTGATTGAAACTGACGGAATGCGCTCCTGTGTCTGCCGCTGCTCCAGCAGCAGATCGCACACCCCGAGAGGCAGGTCAGTGACCTGGCACGAAGAGTTCTAAATTTCAGTTGCTGAGGTGCACTCCACGCAGCTTCTATCACAGCCTCTGGCTTAGTGCGATTAAGGGGAACTAAGGGGAGCCATCATTGCAGCTGATGGCTGACGCTGGTGGCGCATGTAAGCACTCCAAAGAGAGCCTCAGTTGACCATCGATCTATCCTTCCTTCCATCCATCCCATCTGTCTAATCGATTTTGAACTGATGTAATCTCATCAAATCTAATCTATGCAGGATTGCTTGGGGGCTGATTCTTTAGATGCCTAGGGCCTGGAACCTTGCTGTCGATACCACCAGCAAGCGTTTGACCCAGACTTCATGCGCTTAAGCCCCCTGAAAGCGATGCTCCACTTTGACGCTAAAACAAAGCAATTGAATCCCACCACAACCTGAAGATGAACTTGAATGGAACCTGATTGGACAACCAATGAAAGCCCAGGCTAAGTTGGTGGATGCACGTCTTTGTCAGTGTCTGAAAGGCTTTGCCGAAACCAACGCAACCCACTTCCGTTCATTCACCAGGCCATTCAAACACCGGCGGTCCTCCTGCCATAAAATTCTGCTGCCAAAGGCCCTCCCTCCTCCTCCAACCATCCGTCCTGGAAACTGGATTTCAACTGATGCCCCAAATTAAGTCCGATTTGTCTGCCTTTTTGTGGGAAACTGATTTTTCAGGGAAGGTCATCATATTTCTGCCTGGAGGCAATTGTCCTAAGCTTTGTTTTTGGATGCATGCAACAAACTGGCGGAGGCGTTGTTCCCCGATACAAAAGCGTTTTTTTGGCGACACAAAGGCATTTTGTGCCGTACCCTGTTCTAGGCAGGTGTCCCCGCTTTTTGAAGGAAAAAGCGTTTCTTGATGGAAACGACTAACATTTTATGTAGTTACAGCAAAAGGCGGAAATTCTCCACTCCAGGATTTCTAGGTATGTTTAACTGAAAGCCATCAAGACAAAGACTCGTTTTGAGCCCTGAACATGCAACTCCTTACCCAGGGCCCTCGGGCCCTCTCG